CCTCAACCCCATTGATTTTTTTGTTTGGGGATATTTTAAAGACATAACATTCGCCCAAGAATGTGCAAATGAAAATTCATTGAGGAACAAAATTCAAGAAGCGACACATGTGTTGAAAAACAACACACAAGCATTTAGAGATTTAAAACAAAATTTCATACGTAGGTGTACACTGTGCATTTCTGTTAGAGGCAGACATTTTGAAAACCTCTTGTAAATAACATAAATGAATAATAATCTGCTGTTCAGTAAAAATCAAACGTGTTTTTGTGGTTTTTGCAAATTTTTTTTCCGAAACTAACAATTTCTATTGAGCAGAGGGTTATCCAATTTTGGGTTCGGTTCTATTTGAGCCACAATTACGGTAGCATGTAGTAAAGCTAGGTTGATGAAATTTTTACGGTAAATAGCTGAAACCGTAAGGAAGTTTTTAAGATACTTACGAATAGTAAGAACATGTTTTTTCAATTTTTTATAAACGTTCAAATTTGTTGCACTTTTTTACTTTTTTGTTATGTTCGAAGATTTTGAAAAAAATTAAAAAGTAGTATTAGTTACATGACTTGAATGATTATATGATAGTTAAGCCTTAGGTCTTAGCTACATAATCGTGAAAAAAGCAGGCATTTATCACAATTATTAACGAAGTTTGGTAAAAATAAACACAGAACTCAAAAATTCTCGAAAAATCCGAAAAAAAATCATAACTCCTAAACTAAACAAAATCGGACCATATATATGGGGGTGATTTGGGTTCCTCTCGATGTGGGGAATCTAATTTTTTTTTTATGACGTCACGTGTTTGGCCACCCTGTATATATATATAATGCAAGCAGTAGTCATTGCCATTGCCAACAACCAGTTGGGCAAAAATACAATTAAACTGTTTATTGGGAATTGGTAAAACTTAAAGCATAGTGAACTCTTTTGACTGAAATGTCGAGCTTTCAACGAACCATGTTGTCACCTTCAGGAGTCGTCGTTGAGATTCCTGCTAGATGGTGTTTTAGAACAAAAGCGTGGATGAGCCAAGATACTTTGAAACACAATTGTGATTTCCATTTGTATGTTAACTTTTTAAACAATTCAGCGCGTTTCAGTATAAATTAGCGTCAGTATTATTTTTCTAATAAGCTTAAAGCTCTTTGATCATGTGAAAAATGCACCTTTATATATATATATATATATATATCATTCTCTTTGTTTTAAAATGTGGATAATATGTATAGGTTTTTTGAATTCTGTAACATCTGTTTGATTCCAAACAAATACGAAATGTTTATTGGAAAAAATGCAACCTTTTTATGTGTGGTCTCTTTCTCTAGGTTTCTTAAGTACTTGTCTGTGAAGAATTTTTTCGTTCATGCCAACACTTTTGATTGAATCCCCAAAAATATATCTTCTCATTCGTTGTTGTTGAATAAAGTTTTCTTACAAACATTGGTCTACCCATTTTATGCACCCATGTTTCAAATACCCCCCTGAATAGCTTGTATCAATAAAACCAATCATTACATATATTTCACAAACCAGTGTTTTTTATCTTATATGATTCGTCTAAGAGACATAAAAGTCATATTGGAAAAAATCAATGATTTCAGATATTGTTATCATTCTCATCAGCATTACTAAAATATTTGGAATCACACCACCAGATTCTTCATTAAAAAATTTCCTTTGAATCAGCAACAAAAGGTGAGTTTGGGTGATTGAATTATCACATTTTGATGAAGATAAAGTAATAATGATTTTGCTTTTTTCAACAATTTACATAATACTCTCATATTGACAGTTTTTGTCATAAACACATAGTAAATAAAAAAATACTGGTTTGATATCATAAGATAGGTACTATCATCTTGAAAATTTCTAAATCGAAACACTGATTAGCCATGGGATACCATTGGTAGTTTCACAAATGTTCAAGGAACTATCAACTCTGATAGTCTGTGCTGTGAAGTGAAAAAGTTGTTACAAGGTTGATTCAATATAGTAGATGTTTCCTCAATGCATTCTTTGTGTTATTAGATGTTACATGATATACACATCACAAAAAACAATGTTACTCCTTACCATCAGGACAAAACAACTTTGTAGGTTTTGAAAAACCATCCAATGTCAGTGGAGTTGTGAATCAAAAATGAAAAATGTCAGAATGTCTCCAAAACTTCATTTTTGATGTTATTCATGTTTCTTTTTGGCATAATCAAAGAGATATGAATTTGAAGTTTGTTACTTTTTACACAATTAAAGGCACAGTAAATTTATAAGGGGTCAGAAGTTTCAATATCTGGTGATTCTCATGATCCTCAATTCAGAAATAAATCTGATTTTTACAAGTAAAATAGTAGAAATACATACTACAACAGATGATAGTAAACTCATATTAATATTCAGAGTGAATTATATTTTTCCCTCTAAATGTTTTAAATTGTTTGGGAGTCAAATCAAAAAACAATATTTTCTTATCACAGACAAAGATACCATTATTGATTTGTGATTACTGAATATGTGGTAAGCTGGAAATAATGAAAATATTTTCTTAAGGCTGAGATAGCTTTTGTTACTAAGCTAAATCATGTAATATCCCACATAGGGCCCTAAAAGATAAATAATCAACTAAAGGATGTCTTACATGTTTTACAAATACTTTCCAACCACAAAAAGTGCGATTTATGATTTTATGAAAACTGAAGTTATTTGTTTTGCTATATTAATAGTGTTACAAGTTCCATATATGGGTATTTCTCAGCAAATTTCGAAATTCATGTCCTGAGACATTGATGCTAAGTTGCATGGATTTATCATCAATTTAACATTTTTATTATATCAATAAGTATCTACACTAATATTTTAAAAGAAAAAATTTAGATAATATATTGACACAAAAAAAATACGATTAATTTATTAGTCTAAAAGTCATTTCCTCGTTTGAAATTAATAATAAAAAAATATATACAATCAAATCTGTTCATATTCTTATAAATTGAATATCACTAAAATATTTGGTTATGAGTATGAATTGTATAGTCAAGCTTTCATTGCTAAAAATTAAATATGCATATAAAAAAATCTATTTAAACTATGTCCCTTGAAATGAAATCAGTCCCTCACCCATTATAAATATTCAATTTGTGGTCACACCATTTGATATTTTTGAACGCAGCTGTTGTTTTTAAAACTTGGCAATTCTGCTAATAATATCAACATGGCGGAATTTCTTAATAGTGAAAAGAGTTGCTGCAAAAAAGTATTGGATTTCAATAATTAGAACATTACATTTCTCTGTGTCATTATCTCACTGTTTATATTAAAAGGTAAGTAATTATACTGTTCGACTGTTTTAATGATTTTTTCTTGCTTTGAGGAGTAAAATGCATTCACAAAATGTTAAATCAGTTTGAGGTGATGTAGTTTGTTACAGTGTCGTTTATACAAATCTGTCATTTCCTCGCTAGATTAGAAAGTGAGGCAATGAAAATTATATGAGGGAATGATTTTTGCATATATAAAATTGTGGTTTGGGTGATATTGTTTAACTCCAGGTTGTATAGCATGTGTTTTCAATTTTAACAGATATCCATAAATCAAGAATTGGGAAAATAAGGAAGTTATGTAAAGAAGAAAAGAAATTAAAAAAGAAGGAGTATGACAGAAAGAGGCGAGAAGCTTTGCGTGAAAAAGAAAGATTTAGGCCCGTATCGTCAGTCATCCCTACAATTGTAGGGCGCGTTTATGGCCTCCTTGATTGTCATACTCCTTTCTCTCCTTCAAAAATTTCTAGATTACACTTGTCCCGTGTCAGCGTCAGCGCTCTCCTATTGTGAAGATATGTTTTCTTTTTAAATTGTAGGAAATTTCAGGCTAATAAAACATGATATAACTCAAAAGCAAGCACAATTCGATGCAAATAGATGTTTGTGACATAACCTCAAAATAGAGTTCTGACACGGAGAAGTAGAAAACTATGACAATCAAGGAGGCCATAAAGGCGCCCTACAATTGTAGGGACGACTGACGATACGGGCCTTAGGCCTACAATTCTAGGGCGCGTTTATGGCCTCCTTGATTGTCATACTCCTTTCTCTCCTTCAAAAATTTCTAGATTACACTTGTCCCGTGTCAGCGTCAGCACTCTCCTATTGTGAAGATTTGTTTTCCTTTTAAATTGTAGGAAATATCAGGCTGATAAAACATGATACAACTCAAAACCAAGCACAATTTGATGCAAATTGATGTTTGTGACATAACCTCAAAATAGAGCGCTGACACGGAGAAGTAGAAAACTATGACAATCAAGGAGGCCATAAAGGTGCCCTACAATTGTAGGGGCAACTGACGATACGGGCCTAAAGTATTTAAAGAAGAAGTCAAGTTAAGTCAATAAGTTCTATGAGTGCAAGAGAAACTAGCCTAAAAAGAAAACAATGGAAAAAGAATTGAAAAGTTTATAGGGCAAAGCAAGTTACATTACAAACAAATTTACAGAGAATAGTTGAAGAAACACCCCCACCAAATCTGCACCACCTTTATAGCACAGAGCAGAGAATTTGTCTGCTTTCAATAGACATCGAATGCGCAAGCACCAAACTATTCTGTACGCGAAGATTAAAAGTTTGGAAAATAAAGTAAGGAATTCAGTCAAGCTTAGCGAAAAATATAAGAAGAGGTGTTTGAGATTGAGAACTAAAAATACTGATCCAAACTCTCCACATACAAGTTCCTGACATCATTCTCCCATCAAGTCATTTCCTCATTTCATAGTTTTTTAAGTCATTTTTCTACATGTTATAAACAAAAATCTGGATGACCTTCATTTTCAATGAACCCCACTAAACTAAAACTTTATATTTCTGCAAAAAAGGATATATTTTCATTATTTTTTTTTTAAGAAATGCAAAATGAAATTTCTAATTTGTTGAGAAATACACATATAATAGTGTTCAATTTACAAATACAGCTTATGGAAGATTTGATGATATATTTTATAAGGTACTCACCAACTGTATATTGACTACAGTCCTGTATCTTTGTTATTGTTGCCTCAACTAACTCCTTTCTATCTGGATGTTTTGCTTGTACCACTTGCCCTACTCGTAAGGTGCCTTTAATTTGTTCATCATTAAGTATTCCATTGCCTAAACCCATCTTATAAGTTACCTAAAAAGAAATATTAATAAACTTTATTACATAAAATGACTTAAGTTAGGTTGGCAAAGTATGTCAAGTTCAAACTTACTTTGCATTTAACAATGCGAACCACTTTGCTGACTTTAGCCTCACAGAATGCCCCCTTGTATTTTGCACTAACTGCTGTGCCAACAGACAGATACGGAGGATCGTCTGCTTGCTGGAAAACGGAAAAATAAGTGGAAATAAGTCGCTCACCGACTTAAAAATCAACAAAAGAAACAAATGAAACTTACCATTTTTTGTTTTTCTTTTCCTAAATAGGGTGAGCCGTAACTTTGCGATTAAGATAAGGCAATTATTTAAAAATCAGTTAGAACATCTGGGAATTCAAGAGTTTAGACGCAAACAAAAATATTGTGAAACGTTTGTGCTCCACTATTCTCTTTGAGCGGAAAATACGATCAGTTTACGTCGCACAATTCTTTACAATTATGCTCCAATTGTAATGATGTTTATCCACTATAACATAAAATCATTATAACTTTATTGCTGCACTTTAACGCGAACATTTCCACTAAAGAAATAACTTTTTATAATAATCAGGCGGTTGTTTAGATGACATCTTGGCTTTTCACTTTTAGACGGGACAGCTAGTTATAGAAACAACCTCTGTCAAATTTCCATGGATCATAAAAAGGCATGAACTTTGACGTTCCCCATGGCGTAGCATGACCTTTGACAGTTGCCCATGCCGCAGCATGACCACAAAACGAAGTAGCTAAGAAGACTGGAGATTAGGGGCTAGGACTTGTTAGGGCAATGAATACGCCACCTGTTTCATGATGCAAAAGTTACTTGTGAAGTTACTGACAGACAGGGTCGTATTAGGATACAAGTTTTATCTAGATATAGATTCAGCACATTTCAGTATGTTTCTTAACACATTCATTGCTGACGGCGCGGTTCCGTGCCGCACCGCCAATATCCCAATGTGCGCATGGCACTGGCACGGTCCCACATCGAAAATTATCCCTTTCCGTCCCGCTCAGCACATATACCTGTATATAAAAATTTCTCACAATATGCGCATAGCGCGGCGCCGTGCCACTTGATCTAAATAATTATATATGTAACAAAAAAAAAAATAAGATAATATAGTTGTTCTCTTTAGTCTCTGAAAGGTTGACATAACTCATCATACTCTGTACCATTTTCTAAAGTTATTATAGGTACCATGCTAGGTGCTTTCCTAGCATCAAAAACAATGTTGACTCTATTCTTGAGAGGCAATATATTGCAACATTCGTGTTGTTCCACAGAGACAAATCATTAAGATAAAAAAAGGACAAAAAACATTCATAGTCCCTATTAAAACATTTTTATTTGAAAGAAAATTCACAAACATATTCTGCCACCACTTCCTTTCATTTCATTTGTTTAAAGATACATAAACCAAGTAATTAACTGATACAATATTTTTGAGTCTTTCCAAAACCTAGAGATTTAAAATACCAGGACAGCTTCTTTATCTGACTAATGAATCAAGTTACTCTGATTAAACCTAAATAAAAATAGTAAATAACCACTTCCACGATTCTGATAACCAAACACCTACAGCTTAAGAATTAGTATTATCCTATCTTTTAATAAAGACTGTGGGGTTTTATAACATTAAATAATCATATGACTAGACAAAATGATGCAAGGTTTCAATCCTCCAGGCGTATTATATCACCTTGTTGTCACAAAGAAATAATATGAAAAATATAGAGCTATGTAAATAAAAATAGTAAATAACCACTTCCACAATTTTGATAACTAAACACCTACAGCTTTAGTATTAGTATTGTCCTATCTTTTAATAAAGACTGGAGCTTTATGAACATTAAATAATCATATGAGTAGACAAAATTAATGATGTTAGGTTTCGTTCCTCCAGGACCTCTGTTCTTGAGTTTGAGGGAGTAGAAATTGTGAGAGAAAGTGTCAAAAAGTGGGTGTGGCCAAGAAATGCAGTATTCTTGAAATCAATTCTACCGAAGTGATAGAAATGAATTCACTTTCGGGAGCCGCGATTTCTCTCGGCCGACCAAGAGAAACTGGAAAAATAGAAAATAGCTTAAAACTTAAAAATTGACGTGTTTGACATTGTTATTGTCGTCCCTGCTAAACATATTGCAAAAAATGGTTAATTTCAATCGATTGATGTACTGGAACGGTATTATTAACGAGGATGTAGGGAAGCACCTGGGGAATGGGAGATTGGGAGAGATATTCTGGGGCACCGAGATCCTTTCATAATTTCGGATCGATTTGTGCAGATGTTTAGATTGACCAAAGATTTGGTGTATGAACTGCTGGAGATATTAACTCTATTCATACGTCCACCCCTCACGAGCTTCTGCACTTTCGATCAAAACAAAGGCAAGAGTCCTAGATATTAAGTTTTAGTGATTCTAAAACAGTATCCTTTAATCTATGGTTGAGTTTTCCCTGGTGCATTTGGGCCTGCTCTCGGAGAAATTCAATCATTTTGTCCTTTTGTTCATTTGTAATGTGCTTTTTTAAAGTTTTCGGCTCCATAGATAAAATTATAAGGAAATATTGACCAAACTCTTTGGTTAGTTTTTTACTGTAAAAATTATCCCCATTTTGATTGGTTTAACACGTTTACTCAAAACTGGCAACCCTGTGTCTTTATTTCCTTTCTCCTTTCTATCGAGTCCTTTGAAGAATACAGTATTTTCGAATCGATTGAAAACCGGGGGAGTAGAAAAAGAGAGGGAGTGTGATTTTCTATTAAAGTTAAGAATAGGGGCACAGGAGTATTATATCATCTTGTGGCCACAAAGAAATAATATGAAAACTAGAGCTATGTTGCATACCCTACTTTCATCATTATTGCTACGAGTTATCTTCATATAATGTTAAAATTCTCTGAAATCTTCACTAAGTATTCAATAACAGCAAAGATAACCAAATTATTGAAACTAAAACATACCAACACTTAACACAAACCTATTTCTACCATAGCTGGTCAAATGACCAGTTGTGGTACATGAAGGTACATATACTTGTCATAACAAGTATTACTCAAAATGTATATTATGCAATAAGATTACCTTTATACAGGTTGTGTTATGGAAGATTACGCATCAGAACGGCAACGCTGTCTACTTCTCACGTGAAGCGCCCACTCTCGACCGCCAGCGCCGACCGAGCTGCAACAGCGTGCTCGATATCGCGCGTTGCCGCTTTTCTCGCTTTTTAGACTTCACTATAAGTAATCATTGAGTACGCAACCTGTATAATTAATATAAAGAAGTCAAATCTGTAAAAGTGATGATGTACTCATAATCAATGCAAAAGTTCATAACCAGTCTTTTGACCAGTCATGGTATGTTTAGTGTTAAATAGTAAACATTAGTGCAGGCTGTCAAGATTATATTTGTACAAACATATCACAGATGAGCCCAACATTTCACATGATCTGAATCTATTATAATTTCATTTTTGTGACTTAAGCAGCAATTAATTTAAAACATTCCAAAGATCATGAAACTCACATATAAAGGATATCATTTTATAAATTTGTAATATTTCAAGCCAATTTTACTTTCCTATAATACTATACATCATGTAGTTTATTCACTGTATCAAAACAGTTACGTCACAACGTCAAATAATAACAGTGGCGCACATAGTTGCCACATTAATTAGAACTACTAGATCCTAGAATGACAAAATTTACTTTATGTGCCTTACGGCAACCATTACAGAGTGTAAGTTTGGGAAACACTAGAGCTAGTATAAATTCTATTTACAACCTAATACCTCTCTTACAGACTGTAAAGGCAATAATGGAGCTCTGTGATCTCGTTCGGTCTCAAAATATTTCGTCAAAGAAATGACGAATTATTTTGCTTGCTGACCCAGAGGTTTCGGCATTTTAGCAAAATGCTTAAAAGGATATCTCAAAGTTTTTATATAATAACAATGCAAATATTGAGGCAACAAGAACGGAAATGAACCACAGATAAACAACAGCTGTTGGCATAATTACCTGACAAGCTTTGCAACAATGACGCAACACAGAAAAATGTTACCAACATAAATGTACCTGGGAAATTCAAACTATACAAAGCAATTTAGGATCTATTTTGCATCAAGTTTGACCTTCAAATTTACTAAATATGACATAACTGCTTTGTTTCAGTGAATAAACTATATGTATAAGTTAATTTGAATTACATAATACTGTTTTTGAGTACCCCCTCAACGCCTATGATAAAAATACCAGTTCTACTGAACCATGTTATAAGATACCTAGGTATATATGACTATACCAGTAACTTTTTGTAATTTATACCTATAGTCAGACAACTAAGGAATATTTAATTCACAAAAGCTTCATTACAATATTGTCACACTACTGTTAAGTTACGAGTATACTATGTATTAACAAAACACTATACACACAGTTGAGCAAATCACATTCTCTGTTTTAAATATAAATATCTTTCACCAACCTAACCATGGTGGTTGGTTCATTTTATGTACAGGAGTAAATGTCAAATTGACAGGTATATTTATGGTGGCATACTTCTTATTCAGCCTCTGTAATGTATTTAGGATCATCACACCATTCCTACCCATTAAATATCCTGCTGGAATGTGCACCTCTTCCTCTGAATTATCATCTATCATTTCTATGAAGAATTCTTCATCTGCATGTTCTATGTCACTTATAATTACTGCTCGAGCTCCAGCCTTCTCTGCTATCAGAGCTTTTGTTTTGAAGGAACACTCTCTGTAATATTGGAAACTGTTGTCAGCTTTTAATAATTAGCACAATGAAAATGATATATAACTGATAAGTTTTGGATATTCCACCCCTGTTTTGAATGTGGTGTAATATGCACCATTGCCTGATTGCTGTTTTGCCAGATACAGGAATTTTTAACAAACTTTAATTCAAAAGAAAATTTTAGAATCATAACAATTGCTGAATCGCTTTGTACAGTCTAAGTTGAGGCCAGTTCCTACTTGTTTATATCAGATGTTTCAGATGATCGCTACCAGTATCTAAGTTTTAACATACCCTCTCTGAACAAATGCAACATTCCCTTCAATTTCTTCACCATTATCAGGAGGTTTGCAGCCAAATTTAGGTAATATAGGCACTAGAGGTACATTTTTCACATGGAAGGATGCATTCTAGAATAAGGACTGCATATTAATAGATGTGCTTAGCTGTACTAGTGAAATTGTAAACTTACAAATGGTGCACCGAAATCTTTGGCTGGTCGCAACCTATAAGTGTATTCAAGCTCTTCAGGTTCTACTATCTCGAAAAAAACGTCTCCATGTATTATTTCTGCTGTAGATGTGCCATCCATCAGATGTAACGTGTTCGCTAGAAAATAAACAAACCTGTTTTAGTACTTGGCATGATATTTTGTGGGTAGATGCTTAGGTCAACCTCTAAAGGATGCGTGAAATTTCTGTAAGCTCTTTACTCACCTATACTTTTTACCAAAGAAATACAGCAGCACACAAAAATTATATTTACAACAGTCTTCATGACGTTTTTGGGTTTTAGGCGCCACACAAATCAAATTTGGGGTTATGTATGACTCATTTTTCCCCAATGTTTTTTCCTACTTTTCCACAATGATACAAAACCAATTATTATTATTGAGCTCCTGAACATTAAATTGCGAATTAGACACCTCTGCCAGCTAAAATATACATATAATTTAAAGCTGGGTAGGCCAATAACGATTATTCTTGAAATTTCTAGAATCGACGAAAAACTTCAACAAGTTGCCAACAAATTGTCAAAAATACGTCAAAAACATATAGGTTACGATCAAGGAAGAATTTGTTTGAGGATCCCAGTCTTGTGGTTTTGTGACCTTTCGAATGCTTGAATTTGCATTGAAAAATAGGAAGAAGAAGCGGATAATACAAATCCAAATAAGGTAGGTCATACGTATTTTATGTAGGTCACTGAGAAATAAAAATATTTGCAAATCAACAATTATATGGTAGTTTTTGCAGCCTTAGAAAATGGAAGAAGAAAGAAAAGTTTCCACTGAAAATGAAGAAATCAAATCTACAGCAATAGTAAAATACTCGGTACCAAAGCCAGCACAATTTATGAAACTACAGTGCAATACAGATTTGAATTTACCCCCTTCAAACTGGCTCAGCAGCTCTGCAGATTCCTATGGCTTACAACAAGTCTTATCACACTCAAAAGGCTTTTCAAGGTATGTAGAAGTTATTAGAAATCAGTATCTTTACACTTTGAAGAAACATTGAAGTGGTAAATCCATATTTAGGAATTAATGCTTTCAAAAAGATTGAAATCTTTGAGGCTCAAGTTTCACATTGTTTATATAATTTGAACATTGTAGAGAAACTTCCTTTAAGATTAGCAATATGCATTGCTTGTACTCAATCTTTTTAAATAATTGAACAAAAAAGTTAATCGATATGAAGAACTAAAAATGAGCAGACTGCCAGTACCATCTATGAGTTTTTTCAATCATCATTAGTAAAAAAAATACTCGAAGACACAACACAGCTTTATAAGTGTAGCTTTAGATATCTTCCAATCGCTTTATATCGGGCACCTCAAGGCCTCTGCCTCTTATGGGCCATCTTCAAAACCTGGACACTGGCATAATTCAAAAGTGTCAGTTTCACCTAAAGAATTATACCATCAAGTGTTTTGCCAACCCAGAATTTTAAGCTAAAGCTATTCATTACCTTAATATTCTTTGAGTTTTGCTACCCTACTCAGAAATCTTAAATTACTATGGGGAAGAATATCCATCTCTTATCACGTTAGTAATAATAATACAGTAAAACCCCAATTATCTGAAATAATGTGGACCCAAGTGCTTTTGGATAATCAAAATTTCATATAAAACAGAAATAAATATTTAGACTCATAATGCTTTTATTGAAAAAAGTAAATGTGTGTGTTAAGTGAGTAATATACCTATATAAGGTTACGTAAAATATAAACATGTGGATATAAAAATACATATTTATGAGTTTTTGGTAAGAAAGGAAATAATTTGTAAATATACACATTTTGCATTGTTCCTGCATTTGGCAGCAATATCCCTCCAACGTTTGATAAGTAGCACATCAGCTGCTGTCGCATTTTCTTGTTGTTCAATGTAAGTTAATGCCTTTTGTAGAGCTTCTAATCCCTCAGAATGTGATATTTTGGCAGAGATTTCTGTCTCATTGTCACTCGCATCACTTAGAACTGTCTCATTGCCATTGTTACAAACAGTTTTTATTAGTTCTGTATCAGTTAATTCTTACACCAATTCATCACCACTAATCCACTTACCAACATCTGCTTGGGTAAGATTTTCACACCCTGCTAGTTTATGTAACTTTTCGTTGTTATTCTCATAGTCTGCGCAAGATTCTATTATTTGCTTAATTATTGTCGACCAAGATTTTTGTAAAGAATTTTTACTCGGCTCCTTGCTTCTGCTATCCAATATGCCACATTCTTGAGGTGAATCTCTTTTAAACAATCAACGAGGTTACAATCATTATCAACTTGATCTAAAATTTGCTCTAATAACAAACGTCTGTAATTGCGTTTTAAATTTTCTAAAACTCCTTGATCCATTAGCTGAATCAGTGACATTACATTAGGAGGTAAAAACATCACTCGTATTTGTCCACTTTTAAATTGCTCCTGACTTGGGTGGCTTGGAGCATTTTCTAATAGCAAAATACATTTTCTCAGATATCCGTGTTCATTCAAATATCTTTTTTTTTTTATATATCGAAGCAGCCGCGCAGGCAGAAGCCTAAATGCCGGAACACCGCGGCTGCTATGATGATCCCAAAGAAATTTTATTACTACGATTTTTGAACTGCCTAAGGTTAATAGAACTGGGAAAAGCTTCTTCCCGTAGACCGTTCCACAATCTCGACACCCTCGGGACAACGGAGCGGTCGTATCGGCCGGTTCTGGATGTACGAAGTTCTACACGGTTAGGATGGGACCCCAAAGTTAGGCGGGTCTGTCTGGCAGGCACATCGCGCGACGTAAGAGAGCTCTGAGGAGCAAAGCGCGTTGGTGTAACGGTAGAAAAGAGCCAGATCGCCAACAGCCCGCGGGTGCGAAAGAGTCCCGAGACTGTCTGTTAGAGAAGAGTCATCGATCAGTGGCAAGGCAGCAGCGGTGGCCGCAGTAGTAGACTCTTCGGTCTCCTGTTCAGTCGCCGTGCGCTGTGCGGGTTCGAGTCCCGTCCCAGGAGAAATGTTTCTCTTGGCTATGGATGTTGTGATTGTCCGTAGGTGGTAGATGGTCTCTGACTGTCGAACCGAGAGGTACCACCGGCGGTTCTGTAGCGGGCCAAATGTGGCAAGTGATGCACAGGTCATCGCCAGAGTCCGGTGTCCCCCTTGCCCCCATGCCCCACGGTACCCATGGTGCTGCTAGGCCTCGTGTAGTGGAATATAAAAAAAAAGTGGACCGCCCTCCTCGGAACACGGCATGGACAATGAGTCGGGGCGCGGCCCCCCAAACGTGGAGCAATACTCGAGGCTAGGCCTTACTGGGCCTCGAGTGAGAGTCATGCGGAGAAAGTACTTCTTAGCCTAAACAATAGAGCTTTTTCAGCAGCGCAGCTATTGACGAGATGTGTCGTCCAGATCGGTCTCGTTGACTGGCCTCGACCGCGAAAGCTGATTTTGGCAAATCGACCATCCATCGAAACCGGGTGAGCGCAGGGACGCTTTTTGTTCGTCAAAGTACAGTACTGCGTTTTGGAAGCATTGAACTGTACAAGATTGTTGCGTCCCCAAGCAGTGATAGCCTCCAGGTCTCTTGTCAGAGAGGGAAGTCATCGCTAGTCTGCTTTTTTCCAACTGAGCGGCAGAGATCGGCTTGTCATTCTGAATTCCTGCATGTAGAGTGCTGTCATCAGCGAAGCTGTGGATTGGGTTGATCGTGCAGGAAAGGAAGTCGTTGATATCTAAGAGAAACAGTGTCGGAGCCAAGACCGATCCCTGGGGAACACCCGCGTTGACGTTGAGGGATGAAGAGGAGAGCCCGTCAATTACGACGGATATCTTGCGGCCAGAGATAAAGTCAGCCACCCATCTGCAAAGCTTTTCTGGGAGGCCATAGGATGGAAGTTTGCTTAAGAGGGCAGCGTGCCACAGCTGATCGAACGCTTTCGTGGTGTCAAGAGCAACGACATGAGCCTCACCATAAGACTGGATGAGTTTACTCCACAATTGAGTGACGTAAGCTAGGAGGTCCTCTGTGGATCGTTGGTGCCGGAAACCATACTGCCTGTCGCTAATCAAGCCGTGACGTTCGAGGTAGTCCAGAAGCTTGCGATTTATGCACCTCTCCATCACCTTACTTAAAACAGAAAGCAGAGCTATAGCCCTGACAGTTGTAAGGGTCGGACTTAGATCCCTTTTTTGGGATGGGTTGGACATGAGCAAATTTCCAGTTTTCTGGGAAGGTGCCGGATTCATAAGATATCTAGAAGAGACGCGAAAGAACTGGAGTAAGCTCCGGTGCACACCTCTTCAGTACAATGGCAGGAATCAAGCCCGGACCAGAAGCTTTGTTGATGTCGAGCGACAAGAGCACCCGTCTTACGGTCTTATGCCTGAATGTTACCTCCCGCATAGTGTAGGGAACCCTTTGAATTGACGGCACATGGGCGTTGGGGGGGACGACCATGGTGGAGTTGGCAGCAAAGATCTTGGCTAGCACTCCGCCTTGGCCTTTGAGTTGAATACAATAGTTCCATCCTGACACGTAAGTGGTGGAAGGCTACTGTGTGAGAAGTTCTTTTCAATCTGCTTGGCCAGCGTCCAGAAAGACCGACTGCCATTGCGCTGCGACATTACCCTGTGCCTAACTTTTATATCATGGTGGTTTTTGGCATTGCGAACCGCTGCTTTATATTTGTTTCTGGACTCAACTTCGGCTTGTCTGTTTTCTACAGTGGGGTTTTGTTACAAGGTTCTGTGTGCATCCGCGTCAGTGAAACAGACATCTTTCCAAGGAAAGCTAGAGAAGAAATCTCTGAGCCCCTCCCAGTCGGCATGTCCGTAATGCCAAGTTTTGCGGCCTTTACAAGTTTCTGCTGCCACAGCGGGTTCTGACCGAAACCCAACCTCCACAACACCGTGGTCCGAGTTAGCCAGGGGGGACAGGATAGCAGTGCTGTGAGGGACAGGATGCGTGGTCAGAAAGAGATCCAGCAGGCTACTGGCGTGTGACGAGACGCGGGGGAAAAAAGTAGGACTCGTCACCAGCTGAGTCAGCCCTTGGGTAAGAGCGAACGCTTCGACTGCACGACCTGCTGCGTCGGTCTTGTTTGAGCCCAACCAAAGCTCGTTATGGGCATTGAAATCACCGAGAAGAACTACTCTGAAGCGGGATGATTGATGTTCAGGAAGTCGATCTGGACGGCGAGGTATTCGAGTAGGTCATCCCAGTTATGGTCCGAGGGAGAGCGATAAAGGCAGCAAATAAACTTGGGTGAAGTTTTGGAGTTGAGGCGAAGCCACAGAATGTCCTTCCGGTCTGATTCCAAAGAAACATCTCTGGAGCAGGAAAGACTGCTGCGGACAAAAGCCACAACTCCCCCGTTCTTTCTCAGATTAGAGTGCACCTCGTAGTTTGGGAAGTTAAGATGGTTAATCGTGCCAAGAAAAGCACGGCGGGACGATTGGATTGCAGGTAGTGATGAACAGCATCAATGTTGCTGTTAATCCCTCAGATGTTCGAAAAACAAATTTTATCTTCGATGTTGTTCCCTCGAGCCCACCCTCCACCCGGACATTCCGAGAGTGGAGTGAGTTTACGTCCGGAGTTCTTAGTGCTCGAGGGATCCATCATCATTAATTTCTTTGTTTTGGAGGATAACCGACTGCATAGCTTAGGTTTGGAAACATGCGGACATTTATAAGACACCCTGGGAAAAGCTAGCGGGTGGTACTGCCTCGGTCGACTGGTCCTTGTCTACCACCTTCTTTTTACGTGTTAGTGATGTTAAATAGACCTAAAGTGGCCCGTTCATCGTTCTGTCTTGGAAACAAAATGATTGTAAAACCAGTCCTTAAAAGAAGGACATCCATCCAGGCATTTGTTTGATTTTTATACCACACTGGGAGAGCGTTGGGACGGACGTGTTTAAATGCTCTTGGTTTAGCTGATTTTCCGATTAATAACAAAGGAAGTTTGAGTGTACCGCAAACTTTTAATTCTCGTATACCGTGTCGTTTTTTTTTTCATCTATGCAGCCAACCATCACTGACTGTAAAGTGATCAGGCGCCTCCATAACTGACAATTCTTCACTTGAGTTGACTGCCTTTTGCTTTAGAATTGGTTCGTAAATTGGTATTCCACGTTCTCGATTCTGTGTAAACCATAGATATAAAGCATCATCCACTTTTTGATATTTCCCCTTTTTCATAGTTTTCCGTGACAGCTGCGAGGATGTCAGAACACTAGACCACTTTTCAATTTTCTTATCTTAGCGATTATGAATCTGACTGAAACAAACATACACGCACACATACCAGTGAATTCCGCAAACGCGCTTGAGGAATCACCGGCAGCGAATCCAATGACGCAAACGCGGAACTACCGGCAGCTATTTCGGTTCATGCGCCGGTTTCCCAAACAACTTCGGTTAAAACGGAGAAATTATTGTATATGCGATCTGTTTGGGATAATCGCGATTCGGATAATCGGGGTTTTACTGTAATTATAAATATAAGTACAGAAAAAAATACATAATTCTGACAACTATTAGTTCTCAATCTGCGCTCTTCCACCTAATCAGAAAAAGAAAAGTAATAATAGCAATACTTGATAAAATTAAATATTAGTATCAAGATGCTAAGAATGTCTTCCATAGCATTACACATCTTCATTTAAAATCTTCAATGCTTTTGAAGTCCCTCTTGAAGGTGTGAAATGTCACAATCAGTATTTACTGATGATTCGATAATTGTCAATCGATTTCTACAAAACCTTTGACATCAATAATTACTGACATCTAGGCTTCATGATCAATGAATATCACATTCCATGATAAATCCTGATGGATCACATTAAATGTTGCACAAATACAACTCCCAGGACATTACAAAGGCTTGCTACTTTCAATATGACTTCATCCATTTAGAGGTTCTTCTTTCAGGTACATGAACCCTTCAAGCTACAGATGTTTAAAAATAAATACCAAGACTTTTATTTGGAGGGCTGAAGCCCTTTTTTGCTACTGAAAATGTTGCAAGAATCTGCTGCTTGCCCGGATGTAAACTGCTCTTTGAACTCTGCAAGTCTTTATACCGACTTCAATCAAGCTGTTTTTTTTTGCTCTTTGAAATATTTAAGTGTACTTCACTTTGTGATTTCACCATATAACTAGTATAGAATGGGATTTTTTCTTAAACCATATTTCAGCAGAATATCAATATTTTCCTTCAAAAAGTATATTCTATTTACTTTGCTGTGTGAATCAGAAGTGGCACAACTTGTGTTTGAAATGTATTATTTTTCTAAACCTGCTCTTGGGACGTGACCTTACTTCAGGCATTGAGCTCAGGTTGTGCAAGTGCCAGCAGGAATATTATGGAGCTCAGGCTTCCATCAGTTGTGATGAAAATACCCTAATACCAATATCTGGAATAAAATCGTATTGGTTAATTTTTTTCAGGATAAAATATGGAGGATTACAATAAGTTTTTTTAATGTATGAATTTTAAATACATTTTTTCCAACACACAAGCAACAAAATGAGGATACTGAAACAAGATCTTTGGAAACATAAATGTAAACACTCTATTCCAACTACTAAAAATATTATTTTGTCTAGCTGTCATATCAGTATAACTTGAGTGCTCTTGAGTGAAAATTTGGTTCTGTATGGAACCTAAATTTATAGTATATTTGTTCCATAGTTTCAGGATGGCCCACATGTTTCCTGACTGTGTTGGTGAGGTGGATGTCATTTCAGATGCTGAAAATATTAAAAAACTACTGAAAATACCTTACAACAAAGCCCATATCAGTATGATGGTACATCGCATTGAAAATACATTACTCATTGATGATTTTGATATTTACAAACACCTCCTGAGAACTGCTGAAACAGAATGGGAATGGCTGCGTAAATTTTTTATTGAGAACATAAACAGAGCTACTTATGAGGAAGATAAGCATTTGTATATTAAGAGTCGGCAGAGAGAGGCCTTAAAGGAGAAAAGTTTGGTATCCAAGTTTCTGTACTATAGTTTAGGTGATAGTAGATGTAATAAAGAAACCAGTGAACTCATAGAAACCAATCAGAATTGTCCTTTACAAGAACCTGATTTGCCAGAGCCTTCTACAGAGTATCCTGATTCACCCACATCGGAACAAAGGTATAACCGAAATGTTGTTTGGACTTTTGAAGATATTGAAATGCTTGTAGGTAAGGATGGTACAACTGTAGATTGTTTTATCAGTGTGTGATCTATTTTTTGTTGTTTATCCTAGGAACTGATTTACCAATATTTGGCGGAGGTACTCACCCTTGTATTTCCTTAAGGCTGAGAGATATGTCAAAGCCAATCAATGTCCTCACTGGCATTGACTATTGGCTTGACAACTTGATGTCAAATGTACCTGAAGTCATCATGTGTTTCCATTTGAATGGAATTGTTCAAAAGTATGAACTAATTAAAACAGAAGATTTACCTAGGTAAGTCACATATTCATGGCAAAAGGACCAACACTTCTCTACTAAGATTTGGATTTGATTGTACTGAGATCACATTTGTTAATGTAGTATATTTACTGTATTAAGAACTAAAGGATTCAACTAACATTAATAATGCAACCTTCAGACAATCCCACTAGTTATTTTCAAAGATCTTCTGGAAGGGGAAAATGAAATAACTTTTATGAGGTTTCTCATTTTTGCAGATTGGATAACTCTAAGTTCTCTCCAAAACTGATTCGTGATGTAGCTCAGAGCATTTTAAGCTTTTTGAAGTCGAATGCTACAAAGCCAGGACACACATACTGGCTTTTTAAAGGCAAGGACGAGGAGGTTATCAAATTATATGACCTAACAAGTCTCTGTTCAGAATCGGATGTGGAGAAAGGCCAGAATCCCTTCACTGTACCAGTGGCGATGTTATTGTATAGAGTTGCTAGGAACATGAAACACTCAACTGATAGAAGGAAGCCAGGGACTATAAGAATGCTTTTGCAGAACTGCATAAAGGTAATAATGCCAAGGTTTACAAGACCGCAGCTAATTTACACAGCGCCCTTAAGGGAAATAATTTGAAGACACAAAATGTGTGTGTATTGTATCAAATATTATACATGTCGACTGAGGAACGGACAAATTGAACGTTTGGCATAGTTTCCATCAAAAGCAACTTGGCAGCAACTCGACTTTGGTCTGATTTCAACTGAAGCAACTGGCTGACTTGTTTTGAGGTTGTGAATGGAAGCCCTGAGAATACTTTGTAAGAAGAATATGGAATGAAAATATACTATTTTGGTTCTAAAATCCTTGATGAAAAGAAAAAGTGTATTAGTAACGCATTTTCAAATAAAATCCAGCCAAATCAGTCAACATAATATGTAATAGCGCTATTCTGCCACTTAACCCCAACATAAAAGTGCAAAAAAAAACAATATCTCAATATTAACAAAAGTAATGATTGTTGTATAAATAAGCTTTGTATAAGATATAAATTATAACTATCGTACAGTTTAGAGAAAATCATATTTGATGAATGTCCCAAATTCATGTGAATAATATCACCAAAAATTGTTTTTCCATTCTACACCATTCTGTACCTAAATAAATAAACAATTTCTTGACTATCAAACCAAAAAAATTAATCAATCAAAAAATTCACAATACCTACCTAATAAATATTTGTAACATGGATGGTTTGTGGAAAATAAGCTCTCATACAAATTATTTCATGCGTCTGATGAACCTCATACCCCATTAACTTGATTGTCACACCTCTTGTATCAACTGCAGCTTTTCTGGAAGGATGCCATCACTGTTGCTCGAATTGAATCACTTCAAGGTAGACAAAAACGCTTTAGAGAAGTACTTTTATTCTACTGTCAATAATTTTTTGGAGACTCGACAGGAACGTTAGCTGACATGTCACAGTGACATCAACAGATGACATCGTTCATCAGCAAGTGCAGGCTGGCGACGATCGTGCCAAAAACCAGTCGCACTGCCGTCTCTGGTGTGAACACTTGGTTTTGAATACATATGCCATGTCAGGTTGAAGTTGCCAGTTGCTTTCATTGAGAACAGTTATTTAACTTTTGAAACCGAGGTGGGTGTTTTTAGCCATAAATGGAACTGTGACGTACTTATTTTGACTATTTTATCGTTGCTGAGATAATGTTTATTCTTTATATTCCAGCTTCTGCCATACGAAAAATACCCCGAGATAGTGACATCATCCCTATTTATGCTTTCTGATCTCTATGTACCTGCCAACACAAATCCGGAAAATCCTGACATGCGAGACAGCGAAACGGATGATAACGACGCTGATTACGATGATATTGAAAGCGATATTAAGGAAGAGGCGACTAAAATCCTAGTGTTGGATAACAGTCGCTTGGAGAGGTTCAAGAACTATTATAAGCCACCACCACCGATTGTAGGTGATGTTGAAGAACGGTGTGTACAGGTTAGTTGAGCCTGATTTTACACAATATGGTAATACTCATTAATGCAAGCAGCTACAAAATTTCGTGAAAATGCTGTTCAACTCTATAAAGACTGACACTTAGTATGTATATACCTATACTGCCCCAAAGCAGTCAAAACGACAGCATTGTGAAAAAATAACTAATAATTAAAGACATTTGTTTAAAATTAATTTTTAATAACTTTTATATTATTTACAGTCATACAAGTTATAAGCAAGTACATATTAACAATAAAAAAATGACTTCACTTGGAAAAAAATAATTTATGCATTTGTTCATTTTAAGCAAATGAAAGTGGAAATCTTTTTATGTTTACATCTTCTGCAAACATGCTTTTGACATTTTTCACATATTTGTTTTGTGACAAAGTCATACTTGACAATTTTCTCTTTTAATGTTCTGATGAATTTTTCTGTCTTGCAGCTCTGTTATTGGTGGAAATCTGTTCCTAATTGAAACAAGAACTGTTTTCATTGTATTTGTATTCCTGTCGCTTCTTTGTAAAGGATCCAAGCACTTATAGCAGACAAATCTAAAATATTGAAAAATATTTGTTATTTGGAGGAGCCATTTACAAGAACTAGATTTTACTATATATTTTCTGGCCATTTGATCCTCCAAATTTTGTTTTGTCATAAAGTCCAGTAACATTTTTTCATTACTTTTATCAATTTTAACAAAAATCATTTGATTATCTAAACTTTTGCAAGTGGTCAAATTGACTGCTTTTGGGCAATACAGGTATAACATATATGTATACATATATCGGAAATGAAGGATGGGGAGGCAACTACAATGATTAATAAACGCATTTATATGTTGTACAAAAAGTCACAAAATTATAAGAAGCTGTGTCATTATATACATAATTGTTTTTCTAATTGAAATTGAAAAGCAGTCAAAATGACTTCCTTAGGCAATCTAGTGTTAACCTTGTTTTACACCCAATTATTCCGCGAGAGTGATATAATAGCGATGGAATATTACCGCACTTCATGATGGTTCCTTATTTCGAGAGTACTCGACACAACGACGTTTTCTATGAGTCCTGATACAGGGTGCTTGTGAGTTTTCAGTGTTTGGAATTACTAAACTAACTTTCACTAGTAAAAAGCTACATTGTTTGTGAATAACATATTTGAGATTAAAATTTTTCAATGTGAAATAATATTTGCTAAGGGCAGAGAGTCGCAAGCATTCAGTCGCTAGTACGTTCTAATCGGCCACTTACTTATAAACATAGCGTTGAAACGGCAGACGCACTCATTGGATTTATAAATATCTCTCTATTGCTACGTTCTCAATTGCTTTCTAATTTCAATTGTCTCAAAGTTCAGTTTATTTGCATCCAATGTTACCAAGAAACGATTCAATGAATGAAAAAAATAAAATGATTTTACAGAAAATTCCTGGTCAAGTCAAACAGTCGGTTGACACGGTGTGCCATATTGGAGATACAGTGCACTATCCTCAAGAATGGTTAAATTCTTTTAGGCCTTCAGGCCTACCACCTCACGACTTTATGTTAAAATTCGGCATTCCTATCATGCTATTGAGAAACTTGATCTCTCCCAACCTGTATAATGGCACAAGGAGGATGAAAGAGTTGCGGGACAATATAATCGTGGCGACCATCCTCATGGAGCCAGAATGGGGATTACTTTGCTTATATTACGCGGGTACCCATGATTCCTACGGATTAGCCAATAACGTTAAAAGGCTACAGTTTCCACGCAAAGTTTCATTTGCCCTCACGATAAATAAGTCCCAGGGTCAAATATTCTGTATGGTGGTAATTGACTTCAAAAATTAATATTTTCCCATAGGCACGTTTATGACGGCTTATCTCGAGTTGGAACTCCGGAAAACCAATTCATTTTGCTACCAAACAATCGCACATCATACAGTATACAGGAAAGTCCTAAACAATCAATATGTTCGCCTAATTTAGACTAACAGCCAACATGAAAGAAAATAAAAATAACGTAAATCCTAAGCACTAGGTACTAAGAACCACATAAGATAATTAATTCCACCACAAGTAAAAATAATATTTGACGCTCAGTGAAGCGGGCGCGGGCCGGCTAGTTCATCCTTTGTTTTATTCATGTGAACATCGAATATATTTATTTATAGCACAAATATTCATAAACATTTCAATAAATCAAATGAAAACACGATTTAAAATTGAATCAGTTGATTATACCATACCTCCATACAAAATTTCCCACAGTGTTGCGTCCCTGTGAGGGGCTCGAAATGACAATTCATTTAAAAGCTGTCTGTACACAAAAACGCATATTCGTACAATGTGGTCGCCAACCACTTAGGCTTACATGTAAATACTATTCGACCACCGTCTTTAGGTACCAGCGTTGCCACCCTTCGGACTGTTGGCCGCGGTTATGTGATTTTCTTTTCCATCTTTGAGAGTACGAACTCTCAGGTACAATTAAGAAGGTTGAGAGATAATATTGAAAGATTGATGTCATGTTTGAGAATAAAGAATTTTCTTTATGTGTGGAGTTTTTTTTTATTACTCTTGTAAGGATCCTATTTGGCAACATGGCTTTGGCGATTGAAATTGTATCTGAACGTCCAAAAACAACATTGGGTTGGGTATCTTTTTGGAGAATTCGTTAATCATAGTTTAAATTGAGTGTTGATTTAACTGCACCGAAAAAATCAGTAAACATACTATTGTGGTATGCTATGCAACATAAAATTGAAAATTCTGTAGTAAGCTCATTTATTTCTTATCAAAACGAAACACAAAATATTGATACAATTAAATGATTCTCCAAATAGAAATATAATTTAATCACAATTCTAGGCTATCAAATACGTGGCTGAGGGCTTGGATTGTATCAAGTACTTTTCAGAACAAAAAGACGAAGAGGGAAAACAAAGCGTAAGGCCAGAAGATGAAGAAGTCAAAATGGCCAAACCTTTCGAACCGATACCGATGCCTTACGGCAAAATAAACGAAGAAAAAGAAACACCGAAAAAATCCAAAAAGAAAAGCAAGAAAAAAGATAAACTTCAAGAAAAGAAAGAGGAGTCCAAATCGACTGAAAACAAAAACGCTCTGCTACCAAAAACCAAACACGAAGCTCAACCGTTGCCAAAATGGAACGAGGCTGTGCATAACATCTCTTGGAAAGATCATCTCAAAACGTTACTGTACGAAAAAGCAGTACTGGTATATGCCATCTTATCAGAGTACCATTATGTGAATGGAAACTACGGGACTAGTCTGAGATACATAGGACTGTTAGCAAGATGTCAGCTCACAATGAACAGACTTCAGTACACGTCAAACGCCTTGCGTGAAAATTGTATGTTAGGTAGAGCAGGGGATTGCTGTATTATGATGGTGCAAACCTGGGGAAAGTGTGACAGTTACAATGAACAACTGCATTACATTACGGATGAGGATCTGAAGATGATGGAGCAGATCGAAAAAGATGAACAAGCTCATGGAATTAAACTTGGTGAAAGCAATATGAAGTGCGTTTTTATCTATGATATTCGTACTATCGAGCAGATTCTGCTTAAGGCGATTGAATGTTATGAAGCTGCGTTGAAGTTGTCAGAAACGGAAAGCATACTAAGAAGGTAATAATCTTTGTGACTTAACATTATGGAATATTAAGAATGGTTTTTTGAGAAGACCTCGGACGCAAAATTGTTGATAAACATACTGAAAAATGTTACTCAACCTATCTTCATTCGGTCTGTAGAAAAATATGTAGAGAGAAGTAATTACTATAATGTTGGAACGCAAATACATACATAGTGGACTATTTTAATACCAGCTGTCTGTTTTCAGTGACATTTAAAATACTCCGTCAAGACAAAGAGGCGTACATTTTGCTGATTTGCACTGCCTATGTGTAATTAAGCAAGTTTTGATATATAGTCAGAAAGATCCTATCGATGAAGCTTCAAATGATCACGACTACATTTCAAGTCGGCTAGGAATTAAACATGCCCTTAGAGATTTTGTGTTGTTGGCAATAGTGAATTTGTTGAAATTCTGTAGCGTATGAAAACTATACTTACAAGGCATTGTCACTTTAAGATGTGAAGTATTTTGAATGTAACTAAATGATAGCTGCTATCTATCTATGAAAATAGTGAGGTGTAGGCAATCCGTATTAAAGCATTATAAAAACCTTCAAAAAATGTTGTCAATAAGTTTTCGTATCAAATCATGAAAAGGTCTTTACCAAAAATTGATAGGCTTATTTTATGTATTATAAGTAATTCCGATGATGTTTTAGGTTAGGAAATAGCCTGAATGAAGTCGCTTCCTATTACCTCAATAAAGCGAAATGTGAGAAAAAGCCAGAAGACATCATAACAACTTGCAAGAAAGGGGAACCTTACCTTACCAGAGGTTTAGAGATATTCGAGAAAGTAAAGGACGACGCAAATATAGCTTTATTATACACCAATATAGGTCATTTACATAGGCTTTTAGCGTACGCGCACACTCCTGCTGAACGCGGTGAACTTACCTCGCCAGAAAAGTTACATTATAACAAGGCATTTGTGAACTACAAGAAAGCGTTGCAAGTTTTGGGTGAAAGAGAACACTGTCCTGGCATTTGGGATGCTGTTAAATGGGAGCTATCAACTGCTTTGTTCAATATGGGCTCTATTATGCACGAAAATCCCCCATCGCATTTGGTAAGCACTTCTTAATTTACTTTGTATACATCTTGTCGCAGAAAAAAATCAACGGACCCCGCAGGAAACGCCGAATTTTTGGGCCCATGGACACTTTTATCACTACAGGCGAATCGGCAGGTACCTATTCGATTCCACCAAAAGTGTTTACTCATTGCATTTTTTTGTAATCAAATATTGAAATTTTAGCTTGAAATTAAGAGGAAATTATATGTAGTATTGACGCAAACTCTTTCACGGATCTGTCTTTTGTAAAGTAATATGTTTTCAGACCAAAGCCGAGGCTGAGAAAGAGGTGATAGAAATTCTGCAAAAGGCACTAAAATATTGTGATCTAGAAGAAAACAACCCCAAGTTCCCTTTGTATCAATACAGAGCTGCCATCATACACTACAGAATTGGCTCTCTGTATCACAGCCATATTTGGTCCACAACTAATGATGCCTGCAATAGAAAAAACATCATACAGCTGGCAAAAATCAACTATGAAAAGGCGGCGAAGCTGTACTTCCAAAGTTCAGACGCTGTTAATTATTTCACAGCTCAAATGCAACGATTTGCTTTATCAGAATACCTTGCAGAAAGTAAGTAAATTGCATCTCTTCTTGCGGTGCCACATCAGGCCCATCTGGTCTGTTCCTATCGATTATGCCCTTTATCATGAGCTGAAGGGCGTTATAATGATCTCCTCAAGGAGCATGCCCAAGGATTGAAATTTTCCTTACCTTAACAGTTTTAAATAGTTCACAAACGACATTTGCTCTGTTCAACACTGCATCACTGTCCAGGGTATTTGAAGTATTCTTTTATGCAACCACGTCTTATACATTTCTAGTCTAGTTATACTATCAGCATTCCTCCTCTAATTTTGTTTACTCTAACAACTCAAAAAATAAATATTATTGCGATCGGGGAACGATAACCCTTTCGCTCAAACTTTGGATTTGAAAGTTGGATGTATGGATTTCAAAACCTAATTCTTATTCGACAAAACACTGCGTTATTTGTATCTTATATTTCTTAGATATCTCTAAAACAAAATTATTTACTGAATTTTCTTTTGAAAGTTTTCTTTTTACAGTCAGGATATATGTATCTGCCTGTGTTCTTGTAGGCAACGTAATAAAAATTGTTTTTGTTCCTCATAAGCAGTAATTAAGCCATGAAAGTCTTGCATGAACTTGACTGCTCGTTCTCCCGTATCGTTAACTGCTCTTAGTGTTCGCACCTTATTTTTGGTGTGTTGAAAGGAATCATTATGTGGCCATGAAGTTGGACACTCGTTTGACCGGGAACTTAGGAACACTATTTTTAATGAATACCTAGATTGTTCTGGCAATCGATCGAGCCTGATGCATGGCGCCTGGCGGTCGAATCTTACATTTTTTCTCTGTATCTCCGCCAAGGAATATTATTGAAAGTTCTATTAATTCTAACGATAGTCGTCTCTAGCAACTTGCTTGCTCAGTTTATGTCTATAAAATTCAGTTTAAATCTGTATTTCTCGGGATCCACACATTTGCAGATCTCGCGAAACTTTTTAAACATTGGAATGTCAGAACTTGTAGTCACTTGGTCGATATTTGATTCAAACACGCATTTTAACACCAATTCATAAACGTGATGGCTGAAAGCAAAACTAAGCATTTCTTTATTAAGTTTATGTTCGAGAAGCACTCAGGCACCGTTAATGGAGTAGTGTCACAACAGAGAATCTGAACTTTATCTTCAAGACTCCAGTCAATTATAGCATCTCAAACTGCCCGAGCCTGCTATTATTTGGTTAACTAACTTTTACTGGCGCTATGTCTGTTCTAATACGGTTCAGTGTTCTCCATGTCGACCACTCAAAGTCAGTACCACTGGGCGTCTCTTGGATAAGCCGGTAGTTGGTAAGTGGACCATCTAGAGTCAAGTCCAGGGGAATCATCTACATCAATAGTTTGTTCAGGCCTTTCTTTGAACTCTTACGCCTTTTTGAGAGGGGTCATACAGCTTGTTACATTACTTCTGTGATTAATTAGCCAAGTAAGACATTGGAAAAAGGAAAAAAATAGCCTCCATAGCAAGAATGTCCCTCTAAGACATAGTTGTTTTCTGGAAAAACAGTTACACTGTCGGGGGAAGTCAAATACCTGGGGGTAATACTAGACTCCAAACTAACCTGGAACCCGCAGATTAAACGCTCTCATTGCAAACCATGGAGATTAAGCCCTTCCATGATGCAGTGGACGTACATAATATTGGTAATGCCCAAGATGACTTATGCATCTGGTTCTTCATGACGGTGTTCCGAAGAATGACAATATACGTTCTATGAACTACAAATTTTGGCGCGGTTTTCCCCGCTAGTAATTCTGTAACAAGTCGCGGTTTTAAAATCAGTCGCGGGAAAAAACCGGCCCCTCAATGGACAAGTTTACCACTTTTTTGTTATTGCTCAAATGAAAGTTAAGGAAAAATGAAACAAGATGGTGAAAAAATTATTAATTTATCTCTAAAAACAAAAAAGTTACAGCCCATCAAAGTTGCGCCCCGCGAGAATATTTTTATTCCGTCTCCCGACTCAATCTCCTAAACACATGCATAGGCACACATGGTAGGCTAAACGTCTTCCGCCCAAATTTGTTTAATTAGTTGACTGCATATACATATGTACGATCGGTTATGAGCGAAATAAGAAAAAAAGGTTGTTATAAATACTGCACCGTTCCAAAATGTACGAGCACAACATTTGCAACCCCTAATAAACATTTTTTCTACGTACCTTCACATGCGGCGTCCAGAATGGTATGAACTTACGCAGTACTCAATAGTCATCAACTGGAAACCATGTGTCCGAGCGCACAGATGTGCCTTATGAATTGTCTATAGACTAATGACTAAACGCACAGATGCTGTCGAGTGTCGAACACCTACGTGACGAGACGCTGGGCATTAGAGAAGTGTGACGTCAGACGCGAACGAACGGCAGCTATGATTTCTCGCTATAATGCGCCAAATTTAAGCATCAATTTCTCTGTCATTTATTGGCCGATTTTAATAATTTGTTCACTGGCTGATTATATTTAGTCTATATTTTGCTGGTATGTCATTACTTATGAGACATATGTCATTACTTATGAGACTCTGAAAATCACGAAACTTCTCCATTATTTACTTTACTCACAAAATCAGGCAGTTAAAATCCGCGGCTGTTTAGCCGTAGTGCAGCCTAAGCCTAAAAGGGAGCTTGCTTAAGTAATTAATTTTGTATTTTCAGCTGCCAGCAATTTAAACACCAAAATCAAACACTTGCAACACTGTTTGGAAATAGTCCTGGAATTGGATGAAATGATACAGTTACTTGTGGATAAAAAAATCGATAACCAGGATGAGAAAGAAGATTATGTAGAACAGAATGATAAAAAGTCATATAAAACCTGCTTTTCATTAATTCAGCTCATCAAAACGAGGTTGCAACATATTTTGAAGGTACTTGTGAAAATCTGCATGACCAAGCCACCTGCTAATAAGGACTGCGAAAAATTGGCGGAATTATACAAAAAATGTTATAAAACATCATTTGAATTGAAGGATAATATGGCGTATAATGAATTACTTCAGAAATTACATAAGGTGTTACAAGATATACAGATTGAAGTGGACAATTTTAAGATTTTGTGAAGTTTTATACTTTAGTATTTATTTTTGTGTTAATAAGCTTTTATTAAATATTTATCACTACACTTTTAACTGTGATGAATAAATTTTTTTATGATCTGTCGTTTTCTGGATGGAAATAAAATGAATTGCATTAATAAATTGTTTATTCTACTACAAATCCGCTTTTCATACCTGCTTGCTCACATTTTCGGTATAACTCTGAATTTGTAATTGACCATTTTTTTAAAACAATTCCTATATATTTAGATATTCAGTGCATTTATTTTCCTCAATAAATTATATATAAAACCGATCGTACACTTTTCTGCAACATACATACAACAGCAAAAATCATCAACAACTGTACAGATCTTCACAAATAAAAACACAATGTTCAAAATAAATGCAAAGTGTACCTAAGTAACAATCAAATATTCTTTATCTCACAATACATACAACAGCACATAACTTCACATTTTCCATTTCTAATAGCATGTCACTATGAAGTCATCATATCACTAGCTGAAGAAGTATTCACATTGGGTCCTTTTAGGGAATCATTGATATCTCTTCTAAACATTGATAAGTTTTGAGTAAACCTAGCAAAAAAAAACAAACTTAGTTGTAGCCCCAATTGAAAGATATAATGCAGTATAAAATACACATTAAAGCATTCACCAAAATTAGTGTTACACATGTGTCAAAATTGAGATACAAAACACAATTATGCACTAGTAATAATCATGAGAAAAAGCGTTGCTACTCTACAGGGTGGTTATAATGTGATGGTGTTCACAGAGAACAATTATACTTGGTTCATGAAACAACACTATTTAACATAATAAGCAGCTGTTTGTGCAGAATCCGCATAAATCAATGGCCTTAGAATATGACACCAGCAGAAGGTTACGAGAAGGCATGGCAAAGAATACAGTAGAGGTAGAAGGGCCATTAGCGAAAATACCTTTGATCTTCGAACCTCTAGATACACGGAAAACCAAATTTGTCTGACGGCTTGTGTTCAATGTGTACGAGAGAGAAGCGCAAGAAGTGTGTATCAACACATGTTAGAAAGAGATAGGAGCTGGCTGAAGAGCGAAGATCACCACCACATATCTAGCAACGGTGACGCAGAAGCTCGTGCAATCTGCCGCGATGGAAATATGTTACACTAGAAAATGGTCACACAGGTTTATAAAATAGGTTATGTTACTGTCAAACCCATGAAGGAGGTCTGTTCGAACACTTGATTTAAATTTTGTTTTCATTTTGATTAGAATTATTTATTTCAATTTTGAGGCGGCTTGGTATTTTGATTTATTTTAGAATTACCTTTGATTTCTACCGATGGTGATAAAATCAACACATCCCGAGTTATTTATACATTTTACGAAGCGAGCGGTCGGAAAATGTACTAATTATCACTGCCTGTAGGTAGGCAGGTGAAAACCATTTCGAAGCAGGACAACACTCGCCAATGAGCGCTAGATGGGTACTGACCAAAACCGCCCATCTATGATCATGGAGGTGGAAACCGAGCTTTGGAATGTACAAGATTCGGTGTTATCAAAGGAATCAATGATGCAATGTTGCGGAATTTGTGGCGATCCTGATATTTCATTTCGACTTAAAATGGAGCGCGGTTAGGACCGATCGGGAATCAATCCTAAAGAGATTCGACATAATTCAAAAATGTGTATGCTCAAATAAAACCATTATTTGGGAGTAAAAAAGAAACTAACATAATGGCAACGCGGCAGATTGCCGCGTCAGCGTTGCTAGGCAACGCGGTGATTAGCGACGCTATCCAGGGTGCTTCTACCGTCAGACAAATTTGCTTCTCACTGTATGTATTATGAGAAAAGGATCATGCGGAGAAAGGTATACAGGGTTTGTCCGGAAAGTAATACGACTCATTTTCTTCCGCCATGACTGTACTTCGGAGCGTGCGCGCACCGACTGGATTCGGTAGAGGGCGTTCCTAGCTAACGAATGAGCGGCTGGTCAGTTGTCTCAGAGCACTTGGAGAGTCAGGACAGGCATTTTCGCGCGACGTGTTTCTGTGAGTGGTGCAAGCCGAAAATGTAGCGTTCGTTAGAGCAGAGGTACGCGATTAAATTCTGTGTGAAACTCGGTAAATCTGCGACAGAGACGTTTGATATGATCAAGCAGGCTTACCCAGGTGTTGCTTTAGCAAGAAGTGGTGTGTTTCGGTGGCACCAGGCCTTGTTGGAGGGCCGGGAAGAGGTCGCTGATGAAGACCGTGCTGGAAGACCTTCGACTTCGACAAACACCGATAAGGTGACTCGTGTGCGCAAATTTTCGAACTCAGACCGTCGACTAAGTATTCGTTTAATTGCCCAGATGTTAAATTTACTGAAATCTGTGGTTCACGACATTGTGACACAGCATTTGAACATGCGCAAGGTGTGCGCGAAGATGGTCCCAAAAGTGCTCATTGACGACCAGAAATTGCGGCGAATGGAAGTGTGCCAAGAAAATTTGAACATGTGTGAAAGTGACCCCAATTTTTGAATAACGTAATCACAGGTGATGAGTCGTGGATCTTTGAGTATGATCCCGAGACAAAGAGACAATCTTCCGAGTGGCACACGACTGCGTCTCCTCGCCGAAAAAAAGGAAAGAATGAGCAAATCCAAAGTGAAAACGATGCTCATTGTCTTTTTTGACATCAAAGGCATCGTCCACCATGAATTTGTTCCTCCTGGACAAACCGTCAACGTCAAGTTTTACGTGGAAGTCCGACAAGACATCGCAGCCGACTGGAAGTTGCACCACGACAACGCCCCGGCTCACATCGCCTTTCTTGTGAACAGCTACCTGACCAAGGCCGGCATCCTAACGCTTCCGCAGCTGCCCTACAGCTCAGATGTGGCCCCCCGAACTTTTTTTTGTTTTCTCGCCTGAAAAGGCCGATTAAAGGCAAGCATTTTGAGATGACAGAGGGGATCCAAGCAGCATGCACCGCGGCTCTCAAGGCTATTCCGGAGAATGCCTTCCGTGACGGAAATCGCACTGACAGCGCTGCATCGACGCAGAAGGAGCCTATTTTGAAAGTTTTTAAAGAATTGTAACGATTGGCTCAATAAATTTTTTTAAATCGACTCAGTCCTATTAATTTCCGGACAAACCCTGTGTAATAAATATAAAAAATGACCAAAATTTGCAAAAAGAAGGAAAGTTGATTATGCCTATTATATTGATTTATATATATATATATATATATATATACAGGGTGTTTCAGTTTATTGTTGCATAACTTTAAGATTCGATAGAACTTTTAAAATTAATGCATAAAGTCTATATAAACATGGGTCGAAAAATGCGTGGCTTCCAAAATACAGGGTGTTTAAATTTACTTTTTAAAATAGTTTTTTTTAAATATTTCGAACAATATTTGATGTATAACAGTGAAAATTGGTATACAAGGGTTTTTTGGTACGAAAAAACGAACCATGGGCATAGTTTTACTGTAGCCGCTAGAGGGCGCTCTCTACTGTACCTGTAGTGTATTAAAATGACCGAAATTTTTTTATTAGTGCAATTTTTTGCTTTTTGAATAAAAAAACTGATTCTTCGCACTTTTCTGCATAAAAAAGCTCTCCTGTGAGTTTTCGTTATAATTAGCCGTTTTTGAGATATTTCGATTTTTAAGGTTCGATGCATTTTTAATTATGGGAAAATAATATTTTTTTTACATTTTCGATTTGGGCATTAGAAGTAATTGAGATGATCGTTTAGATTGTTTTTAAACACAGCAATAATTCCTAACTCCAAATAAACACAAAAAAAAACAATATTAATTTGTTTAATTTTCCAATATTATTTTTAACAAATTAAATTAACTATTTACAACTAAAATGCTATTGGATAGTTAGGACAAACGTTCAAAATCTAAATAGTTGCTCGAAATGCAAATCCAATTGTTCAATACACAATTCACATCTACGAATGATCGAACGTGGTATAGCATTATTCAAATAATGCCTTATTTCATCACATGCATTCCTGATTCTGTCTATTAGCATATCTCTTGAGGTTACGTAAGTCTGGTACACTTTTTCTTTTAGAAATCCCCACACAAAGAAATCTAATGGATTTAGGTCAGGGGATCGTGGAGGCCAGGCGACTGGTCCTCCACGGCCGATCCATCTTTCTGGATAATTTTCGTCCAGCCAGTTTCTAACTATTCTCGAATAACGAGCCGGACAACCATCAAGCTGGAACCAGGCCAATCTTCTTAAATCTAACATAACATCATCCCACATATTTGCATGTTCAGCCTTTAAAAATTCCAAGAAGGTCGCAGCATTTAACCTTGCAGGCAAAAGGTAGGGTCCAAATAGTCGATTACGGTACGTTCACACTAAATTCATGCTGAAAATTTCTTTCCCGAACTGCATGCGGATTTTCATGCGACCAAATATGTTGATTATGAAAATTTACCACTCCACGTCTAGTGAAGCATGACTCATCGGTCCATAAAACGTTACTTAAAAACTCCCTATTATTATCAGTTCTATCAAGAATCCCCTGACAAAATGTGATTCTTCGTTCTCCGTGCCCTGGCTGTAGTCCTTGCACAGGTTGCAAATGGTAAGAATGTCTATGGTCATTTCTAAGAACACGGTGAACATGGCTTGCTGAAATTCCCACGGCACCAGAAACTCTCCTAACACTTGTGGTCGGATCTCTATCAAACTCACGCAGAATCACACGGGTAAATCTGCGCTGACGAACATTTATGTTTTGATCCCTTTGGAGATTTAGAAAACCATTTTCAATTATTTGGCGATGCACTCTTACAAATACTGAGCGAGTTTGATGTCGTCTGTTTGGAAATCTTCGTGTGTATTCTCTGGCTGCTTCTGCTGCATTTCCATTTACAAAGCCATACACAAAATGAATATCCGCTAACTCTTGATTGGAGAATAAAAATGGTATTTTTATAAAACTTACAAAAAAAACAGGTAAAAGAAATTAAATTTCGTGCATTCACAATTGCAAAAAAACTATGCCCATGGTTCGTTTTGTCGTACCAAAAAACCCTTTTATACCAATTTTCACTGTTATACATCAAATATTGTTCGAAATATTTAAAAAAAAGAAAGTAAATTTAAACACCCTGTATTTCGGAATCCACGCATTTTTCGACCATGTTTATATAGACTTTATGCATTAATTTTAAAAGTTCTACCGAATCTTAAAGTTATGCAACAATAAACTGAAACACCATGTATATATACTCGTATGTATATAAATACATATATATTTGTTATGTACTTTTCCCCACATGATCCTTTCCTTTTTGTAGATCCTTTGGGCTTGAACTACAATGGCAAGTGGCTATAACCGGCCGCGTGGTTGTGGTAAACATTTTTTAGTGTTGTCCTTAAACCCTAGAGAAGTGACTGAATAATCATACTATATAAGGCTAAAATTCGCAAAGCTGCATCGCAAAAGGCAAACCAACTTACCTATCCCTATTTTTCGTTAATAAATTCCTCTCAATACCGTCCATCAGGTTCTCGAACCACTGTGCCATGGCGGCCTGTTTGTCCGGCGGCTGACTCCGGATGATGCTCTCTCGCATCTGATTGAAATACTCTTCGTTCAACAGGATGAGTCCGAGCAGTGGCCGCGACATTGACCACTGGTTCCGACAGTCCTCGAACATTATCACATTTAACACAGTGCTCAGGATCTGCTGAAGGATCTCCGGGTGCATTTCCAACACCTTCAGGAACATATCACTAGGCGGTACCAATCGGACGCGATGGTCTTTGCCTGGGTACGCTAAAAATAGATTAGAGACATAGTACCGGACAAGTAACTGTCAAAACATAAGTAATACTCTGGTCCGTTGGAAGCATCCTTATATTGTTCTTCACGACACTTTATCGCGGCAAAACGTGTCAATAAATAACAGCTGATTAGTGACATTATCCGATAAGGACAGCTAACACATAACTCTGATGTATTAAAAGGAAAAGGTGTTCTGTAGCCGTATTTTGTTGCTGGTTTTTGTAACCCCTTCAATCAGTAAAAGAATATGTGAAAATAGATTTTCAAAGGTTTTGATGTAAATATTTATGAATACGGTCGAAAGATTCACCAGGGCCGGTATACTCGTTCTGAAAAACGCAAAGCGTTTTCAAGCCGCTTAGCCTCATTTGCACTTGCTTTCGATGTGCTTGTAAAAACATGGTATTCCCGTTGGTCTCCCACGTAGCGCTTTTGAAAATCGGTTGTCAACTACTGAAGGGTATCTTATTGCGGTTTTTTTATATATCAAAGCTGTTATGGATACGATATTGTGGTAGTTTCTGATAGTTGAAAATTATCAATACTGCTCCCCCCATCCAATCATATACAGTGCCATGTTATTGGGAACCATGAGCACACTTCTGGTGAGATGAACAAAAGCAATGCAAAACAACCTCTATCAGGCAAGGAAGCACCTGATTATTCCCAATTAGGATAAAACGGCATCATACATGATTGGTTGGACGGACGAAAGCATTGTTCATTTTTGTTCAATGATAACGAACATATTTCTGTATTTTGCATTATAATTTCAAATATCTTACCTTTTTGGGTTAATTGTTTAAATAAATAAGTTACTATATGGTCTAATGTCGCACAGCAGCCAGTACACACCATAGTATCTGAAAAAATAAATATCTATATTAGTTACAAAAAAAAACAGTAGGATTTGAAATTCTAACAACAATTATTTATTGTTTATTTTATACAAAAATCTTGAAGAATAAGTTGAATAGTAGTTAGTACAGTAAATCCAGTTATTCAAGTTATTTTCATAAAACATGCTTCAAACTCTTGATTCTTCATATACGAACTTATAATAGTATAAACATATGGTTCAAAATGAATTAGGATGTTTAATATGTAATTGATATTATTCAAAATATTACATTACATAACAGTAACATGCAATTCAAAAACAGCAGCACATGAAACACGAAGATGACTGTGAAGAATTTGTTTATTAATCTATACACGGTAGTCTACACCATTTCCCAAAAAATATAACAGTTTTGTCAGTTTCTTATTAGGTCCACTGACTGTTCATAAACTGTTGCATTTTTTGTAAGTTTGGACTACACTAGTCTTGATGTTGGCTTTAATAAAGATAAACAACACAAACAAAATCACACAAATTAATTTTGCTCTCAACTTACAATTAGTTTACTTGTACAGTCAGAGACCTTCTCAGCAACAGATATGTATGGTAAAAGGTAACTACAGACTTAACTAAATTTCTAAGAGTTCTAGAAAAATTGATGCATATGGATTTAAATTAAAAAAGTGAAAATCAAAAATGTAACTCTGGCACTTATTTTTAATACTACTTCGCTGTGTGCTGTGTCCCTGATCTGTACAGACCTGTAAAATGGTTTAGTTGCCCACCTAACGCTGTGAGTCCCTCTGATATCGACGACAATATGTATAGGAACACGTGTGGTTCTAAAGTTGCCAAGAAACTCATATGGTCCTGCGCAAGACACTCCAAAAGCACGTAGTAGGTTTGAGAAAGTTTTGGATAATCCTAGGGAACGAAAAAAATCCTAAGATTATTGAAAATAAGGTAAAAATGCACGCTTTTTACATATTGATACAGGTGTTAAGTGAATTTTCACGCACAGTTGATAAAAAGCAATACACAAATATTCTGAAAATCGAGGCTTTGCTTTTTAGGAACAACTACGCTTGAAATGTCATACTAATATGCGGTGAAACAGCAGTGCAACAGTGAAAAAAACGTTAAAGGAAAGTACTCTGCGTACATTTGATAAGGAACATCAAGTATCGCCCGTCTTATAAGTTGTCGCCATTCGATTCAAAAGACACAAGTTGGTTCTCAATGTATTCGGCGTTGTCTTTGCCTTCAACTAAGCTCACATCGAAGTTCTCTCAAACTGTAGGTGACCCTAGTTCTTAGTATGAGATAAACAAACACTTGCAGTACAAGATGGAAACATCTCGGAAAAAGAACGGTTTCTCCAAATCCGATTTGTAAACAAGCGCTCGGTTGATGAGAGGCAAAATCCTATATTTCGGTTATGTTAAGACTCTGGGATATAAGTATACTAAATGACATGGAAAATGCAACATCGCCTAGTAGTGCTGTAATTTTTTGAGCATACTTTTAAAATTCGTAGGTCTACTGATAAATAGAAAGTGATTAATTAGGTGATTGATATCTTCTCGGTGTATTGTATCCCCAAGCCATCTGAATTTGGTTTCTTAGAGCCTCCAATGTTTGTGGCGGGTCCCATCATGTCCCATACATGTTCGGGGTAGGGTCTGGAGATCGAGGAGGCCACTGAAGCATATTTACTCCGGACGCTGCTAAAAAGTCTAAACTAACACGTGCGACATGAGGTCGTACATTGTCCTGCTGAAAAAGTGGATCTTGCAATGCTTCCAAAAAAGAAGCAGATGTGGATATAGCGCTGGGCGGTCATGCTGCCTCGAATGAGCACTAATCGTGACCTGCTGCAGTAAGCAAGGGCATAACACCCACAGTGCGATGAATATGCCAGTCGATGGAATATTTCACCACGCCTCCTCCTTACTCTTGCACGGCCATCATGTGTGCCCAAACAGAATCTGGACTAATCGCTGAACACGACTGAGTCTCATTCCATATTCCATCAAGTCTCTCCCTACTTCATACCAATCGTTGCCGACTATGCTATTAGGTCAGAGGTAGTACAAGATGGGAACGGTATGAAAACAGTCCAAAAAACCTTATTCGGCGATAAAATGTCTTCATTGTTATTGCCCTTCCGACAGCATCAAACCACTGGTTCGCAATTCCCCTTGTTGTGGAAAATCGATCTATAAGTGCTAGTTGCCTCAAATGATCATGTCGCTCTGTAGTCTATCTTTGACGTTCAGTACATCTAACTCGTCGATTTCGGCATTCTTGAAATCACGCTCGACAACATCTCATCACAGTAACTTCGTTTCGATTCACCCGATTAGCAAGTTCTCTAATAGAAAATCCGGCTTCACGAAACCCGATTATCCGACCTCTCTCAAACTCGGAAAGTTGAGTGAAATTAGCGCGTCTGCGAACTCTAGGCATGATAATGCAATGAAACAAATGGAACCAACACAGAAAAATCAAAGAATATTAAGTAAACATGTTCATATCGTTCGGATCCTGATATGACAAAAAAACCTTTACAAAAAAAGTACGGCTCGGAATGCCTTCAACATTTTATCAGTGTATACTTCTATGATAGCAAATACGCTTACAAGTTTTTATGAAAATTCAATAAATAATTCTGGGTGTTGCATTGTATATGCCACTTAGTATATAATTTGGAGTTTTAATAACTATTCACCGAAAGAAAGAAAGTTTAAGAACATTCTGAAAGACAATTAGAAAACCTCCGTGAGCAGCTCAGAAATAAAAGCAGCATGTCGCCAAGCAAAAAGTGGTAATTTCTATTTGAATAAATTTTATTATTTTACTAAAAATTAATTGGAACCTGACTTACCAATAAATCTGACTGGGGTATCGACAACAAGAGCTTTACAAAAATATTCAAGGCATTATCTAGAGCTTCGTCTCCATATAATCGAAAAACCCCAAAATTAACATAACTACCACAAAGAGCTGCCTTGAGCATTGAAAAACATATAGAGATCCCTTTCAACTTTAAAGGGTACGTCTGGTCTTTCGGTACTTCTACATTCAATATCCTGCTTCCTAAAATAAAAATGAAAATAAAAGAACATTATTACATGTTTAGCGCATATGCTGGCAAATAGTCAAAAGCACAAGTGTTGGAAAATGTACTTCACCTGACCTGATAGCCTTCTAAGTATAAGATATAAAATTCAATCTTGAAATCATCTTTTCGAAACTTGTATTTTTATTATTATGCGATATATCAGTGAGAACAATTGATTACATTGTATGGGAAAACATGTGAACTTACCATAACTACATATTATTTTGCTAGCTTCCCTAAACAATAATATTCCGTTAGGTGACGAAACGTCAAACTGGAGTCTTTGTGATCTATTTTGTACTAGTTCTGCGAATAGTTTCAACACTGGTGTAGTAACTTGAGGATCATGGTACCACAGTTCTATGGCTCTAAGTAAAATTGGCGTATAATTAGGGTATCTGAATATTTATTAAGGAAATATTTATGTATAATGATACAATGATCAGTTTGGAGGAAAATGAAACTGTCTGTACTTACTCCAAGCAAAGCAGTACTGCATTTAATAAAGGTGATTCACTTCAAATTCAATCAATTACCACGCGCATTTAACTGAATTTCATCGTTATTCAGGTGATTGAGAAAGGATACATCCAGTCAAAAAGCATCATATAGGAGGTTTTGGTATTGAAAGAAAATGCTAATCCTCTTAGATCCCTAGCTAAACCTATAAGCGCTTTCTTTGCTTCATCAGAAGCAAATAGAGGTGTATCTGCACTTGCAAGCAACGTTCCTATGCTTTCAAAAGACGCTGAAAAAAAGTATCATATTAGAAGATACCATTATACAATATGTTCCCAGTGAGCTAGTAATTTTGTAAACCATTTTTGTTTTGCGAAAGTGCCATCTGTTACCAGAATCGACCTCTGCGAAAGTGAAAAGCAGCAAGCTGACTGTTGGAACCTTATCCCAGTCACCACTATGACCACTAGATACCGCCGATCCTGGTCCTATAGTAGATATGGTCTACTCGCCATTGAGCAAACTAGTAACATAGCTCTCATTAGTCTGATCACAGATGGCTAACCGTGTATGATGAGGCTTCGTCTACGTGGACAACGAACGAAAGCTGAGCAACTCTATTCAGAGTATAAGGTTTATCGGAATAAGACATCATAAAGTGCCATCTATTACCAGAATCGGCAACTGCGATCGGTCGAAAGAAAGCTATATTACTAGTTTTTTACATTTTTGCATCTACTTGTCTACTGCTATCTAAGAAGCATGTATGTTTCTAGAAATTATAAAAGACTCAAAATAAACAACTTGGAAAACAAAACCTCCATCTAAACTAATTTAAAAGGCCTTAGACGACATCAAATATTCCAGGAGTACAAAGATCACGGCAATAGTCTCAGGGTCAGATTTTTTTGTTTAGACCATGTCTATTAAATATTCAGACACACCGAAAACCATGTAACCACGTTTTTTTACTCGAAAAGGTTTCAATAATAAGTAAACAAGATCAGAAAAAAAAATTTGCTAACGACTTCTTAATTTTCTTTCTTTATTTGGAGGTCGAAATTGTAAATCCACATGACAACCACTATTTTTGATAGAAGATTCCGCACGTTGATCTTGGAAGTCCGAGCTATTTACGAATTTGCCGTAAATATGGTGGCTTCTATTTAAATTGACAAGCTCGACCGCCAAATGAACTTAAGCTCTTGGTCGAATTAGAGATCACTTCTTTTTTATTCTCACAAAACCTTTATTATAACTTTTTTTTCGAACAAATGTGTGCTTGTCAAGATTTAGTGGTGTTCCTGTAGCGTATAGAAAACAACGTATTCGATCACCATATCTTCACGATGAAAATACTTACCAGTCAAAGGCAACATGAATGTATGAAACCTATCCTCATCTTCACCGAGATCAACCATCAACAAACGCCCTAAGGAGGTGTAGAACATGGATCGACACCTCATTTCAGATACGGCGGCCGAGTTGCCGAGAAACGGGAAATGTTCACTTGTGTGATTGTTCAACATGAACTGCACTTCTTCTAACTTAACTAACTTACGAACGCAACTGTAGCCTACCGAGAGGTCATTCAGCAGTTGCAGTGTTTTGCTTATGATTTGTTCGGAACGGCCCCAGTATTTCAAATTCGTTATTCTGGAAAGAAGAAGTAAACAACAGTTCCAAAACATCCTGTGGAAAATACCAAAAGTTGATACAAACTAAAGAATAATGAGGACAAAACATAGTCCTTTAATTAATTTATCATCTTATGGTGCTAACTAATTACAAACAATTTTTCGATTAAGGAACCGAAGTTCACTCGTTGAGACTCTACAACTTTATGATTTGAGGTAATTTCGTGAGAGCGTAAGAGTGATCACGTGACTGAATTTGCTGCTTGAAGTCGATGAGCTGCAGGCAATTTAATGCATTTTACTCTAGCCTCTTGTGTTCTACTGAAGAAATTATTGAAGTGTTTTCAATCTAGGTGCATTACTGGTAGAAATTATACCATGACACAGTATTTTCATAACGGTACAAAGCTTCCAACTTAGACTAGTTTCACTACTACATAGTGATTCTGCAACTTCTTTAAGACTAGTGGAGTAAAACGGAAACAGAAAGCAGACATTTATAAGTAGAACAGGTACATCAACCAAATAAACGGCCATTTATGCTCGCGACTAGTATCATAGTAGGGTGTAATTTTCTGATACCATTCTTGGACATTGTTTAGTGACGTCACAGGACCCAAGTCGCGTGTATAAATGACCGCTAAGATATCAAACAATTAACAAATAATTATGCTGCACCGGCTTTGTCCTCGCACATTTGCAGTTTTCTTGAAATTAGCCTAACATGATACCAACTCTGAAATAGTAATTGAGTACTGGAATGTAACAGTGATTATGGAAAATACTTAAGTTAAGCACCAAACGTTGCTTTCACATACAAAATTTGTACTCCACTATCCACTCATTTTAACATAATAAAATCTAAATAACTTACATTTTCCTAATAAATACGCTCAAGACAGTTGCCTCATCATTCAATCCCAGTGCCTCCGACAACCTCCTATACACCTTGGAATTTTTTTGTACTTGGTCCCCTACGTAGATTTTTCGGAACTGTTCAAAGAAACTGAGCATCGCCAGCTCAAGTTTCTCGCAACCACCATGAACCAAGCGAGAATCAGTGAGGTTCATGAGCTGCAACACTCTGCACACCAACTCTCCGTCCATCGTGTCATGCTCTTCGTTGCTGTTAAACGACACTCGGCCGCCAATGGCCGAGCCGATTATATAAACTAGCCATGTCAGTTGCCCTAAAATTCATTAGATAATTATTAGAAACTGGTATAGGGCAGAAAATAACTCTACCCCAAGATCTCGGAGCCATCTAACAAACGTCAGCTGGAAAACACTGTCATGCTGAAATCGTGCAACAAATACCGTAAACACTCAATAACAACTTCGAACTTCTGTCCTCCGTTCTACTGTTGCGTGCAGATACATGTACAATTGTATACAGAAAATACCTCGTGTAACAAAAGCAACGGGACAGCTCTATTTTCCAAGCAAGGTATTATTTATTACTTCAAGTTTGTTTCAAGGTGAACTTTTGTTTTTTTTTAAGGTTTTTGACACCCGCAATCGAAATACCGAAAAAATCTACGCCGAAATGTGTATTACAATCTAAGATAAAGGTCACATCTGAAGATAAAATAAAGGTAAAATTTAGGAAAAATTCATAGTTAGTATACGAGGGAAACGCTGTAAATTTTGAGATGCGTATTAACTGTGCTAGTTTAAACTATCACTTAAAAGTCGGATTTACTGAACATCAATTTATCCAACGGTTACAACAGGCATTTGGTAAGAAGCTCCGTCCCGGGCAAGTGTGTCTCTGGTATGAAGAATTTAAAGAGGGCGTGTTTCACTGACCTTTGAAAAACGTAATGGTAGGCCATGTTCTAGTGTGACTCTACAAAACATTGCTGAAGTTCAGCGGCAATTTGAAGAAGATTCTCGCGGACATATGCGACTATAGAGGCAACTCTTGGGGTAGGAATTGCAACAGTGCACACCATTTTGCATGATCATCGTCATTCATAAAAAGTTGTTGCAAAGGTGCAATCCTGCATCACAATGCCTCTAGCCACACTGCCCATCTAGTTGTAGACTTTTTACGCCAGCGCCACATCAAAATGCTAGAACATCCGCCTTATTCGCCAGATTAGGAAACGTGTGACTTCTGGCTCTTCAACCATTTGAAAAACAATCTGCGTAGTCGAAAATTTTCGTTCGAAGAGGAAATCGATCAAGCAATTAATCAGTTTGTTGAAGGCATTCCAAAAACTGACTGGTTAGAAGCATTTCATTTGTGGAAGGTCGGGCTAAACAAGTTCATTTATGGTGGAGGAGATTGCTTTGAACGTAAATAAACTAGTTTTCGAAAAATAGTTTTTAGTTTTCGTGTATCTCAAAATATATAGCGTGGCCCTCGGGTGAGCATTGATTAAAGTAAAGGTCAGACCGTTAGTAACTTTTGGCAATGATTTTAATATTTACCTTGAATTTGTCATTGACCTTCACCTTTTAAGGTCAAAATAAAACATGAGACTGTACTAGAACGAAAATTTTTCCTCTGCCGATGTTAAATAGGGAGGTTCCCAGCTAAAAAAGTTTACTGGAAATAACTGACTATGCGGTTCAATTTTGAAACCAAGGTCAGCATTACAATTTTTTAAAGTTAGTAGAAACCTGTCCATAATAACCTTTTTCATCAATAATGCTGCTAAGCTTTTAAGAACTTCTTCTAGCCACAAAGATCTAACCGTCATTTGACCTTTAGAGATTCCCTTGTTCTTAGGTTTTAATACACATTTGGACGTAGAATTTTCCGTCGATTTGATTGCCGCTGACCTTGAAATCTTTGTTCAAATCTAACACCTGAAACTTATCATGTAATTTTCATTGTGAGTTATGGATTACACTTTGAAAAAGTCCATGGTGGCCGAAACTTTAGTAAAAAGAAGAAATTCATACATGTCGTTTCATTTAGCACAATCATAACCCTATCCCAATTTAGGGACGTTCCATTACATTTGTTACACCCGGTAGGTAAAGTTATAGCTTTTATAAAATGAAGAAGTGCTTTTTTGGTAAGTGTATTTTGAATCCACCAACAAGGTATTTTCCGAAAACATCCTTTCGACAATACCAATATTTCCTCCTCCAAAACGCATATTTTAAGTATCTTAACTTTTTTTACGAACGAGAAGTAACGAAACTTACTCTTAAGGCCTCTACATGAAACTCGCGCCAAAACTGTGACCTACGTTCTAGCAAGACGTAATAAGCTAATAAGTGTATCTCTCCATTTTTTTGAGGGGTTGGCATCAAACGCAAGTCTTTTTGACACAAAGATTAGTTTCCACTCCCTACCAATAGATTATATTCTGCTTTGGAAATTAGGTTTTCATTGAATGTATAGAAAATAATCTGTATTTTCTGAAGTTGTAGTTTCACATTTATTGTGAAGTGACAGTCTATATGTAACCTTTGGCAGAAGTACTGGTGACTCAAATAATCTTTCAATGGACGAATTTCAGAGAAGTTTTATTAACACATGAGTGGAAAACGAGGATAAACTGCATCGTAATTGAAAAATGAAAGTAAACATTCTGTTTCAGATACCTCTAAGCTTACCTTCTTGGATTGTGATTTCTATCCTTTGAGTAGGATTTGTAAGTAATTCAGTATAATTCCTAACAGCTTGATCAAATAACTGAACCAACAACATACACGTTTTTTGGTATTCACATCTCCCTATCACCGATAATTGCTCTAGTTGTTGTTGCACCATACCTAGAAAAGAAGAAGTTAGAAGATGGAACATGCGCCGTCGTATTTTTATAGATCCTGACCTTCTGATAACTAAAGACCGGATTTTAAGCAATTTTGCTTATACGCCAATTTGTAAGCAGTATATAAGTAATGCCGTTTTAAGTACAAAGTAAATAAAAAAAACTATTAGTTTTTCAAAAAAAAGTGCTTTTTTTGCTTTTTTTCTTAATTTCAAGCTTATTTTCTAAATTTGCGCTTATTTTGAACTTTTTTCTTTAAATATCTTATTTTTTTCTACCTATTCAAAGGCTTAACCAAAAGTGCTCCTCAAACTGGGACGGACGCGACGCGACACGTCAGAGATATGGAGTGGGGGAGAATAACTATTTCGATGCGCGAACGAACTAATCATAAATTTCGCCATTTTCTAGTAAAAACTTGTCTGGGAGTGTTAAAAAGTAGTCGTTTTGTATAGAAAATTTGTTTACTGTGAGCTTACGGAAGAGCGTCAAAAAGTATCTTTTTAGTTCTTTAATGCTGGTTTTAGTAGAAATACATGTAGGAATTTACAGAATGTCTCGTTGATTCGAACCGAAGTCACTAAAGTACACAAAGTTTTATCACTTCACATTGTTAAAAATTTCATTAAGAACAGAGTTGCCTAGAAAATGGCGGTCCCTTGAAATGATGCACACTCTTCGAAACTCATTCTCCCTTCTCCATTTCTCTGGTGAAACCCCGATCAGTGTTTGTGTGTTCGTGCAATTCTAAAAATAGATGTGCGATACGCAATTCTAGGCTGCTAGTAGGGTGCTCATGGTTAAGATATTTTAAATAAATAACAGATCGTATACCGTGTCACCGATCCTCCAAGTACAAGTGAATAATTAAATAATTTTTTGTGGTGACCTAATACTGTGCGTAAATAATCAAAGATGTCAAAAGTAAATTATACTAACCTCAAGGTCTGGATCAAGGATAACCCGGAATTAAAAATTGAAAATGGAAAAGTATTTTGTCAAGCTTGCATAAAAACGGTAAGTTTTTCATAACATTAGGTATACCGGATGATTATTGATTATGATTAGTCCTAGAGCACATAGAAAATCCCATATTAATCCTACCTACCAAACTTGAATGCATTCTGCTTAGTGTTGTAAAATGTTCGAGAATTTTTTTTCGAGAACGTTCCTCGAGCACGAACGAAAATTTTCAGTACATACGAGTATAAATGAAGAAAAATAAAACAAAGGAAACATATTAGGAAAATATCTGAAATCAAAAAAGTCTGCGCTCTAATTGTGCTCTATTTATTAAGTTAAAAATAATATCAATCCACTTATCTCTTAAAACACTTATGCAATCTCTTAAAATTCAAAGCATAAAATAAACCGATCTGTAAATCCCCGAAAACCAACACTGTCAGATGTCATTGGTGTCAACGATCGACGACAGCCAACCTAATGCGAGGCGATCCGGTGTTGCAACGTCTCGTTGCTAAAGGACCGTTCATACCTAATGTTAACGCTAATGCTATGGGAACGTTAAAATTCTTGGGGTTCGGATTTATGCTCTTGAAAATAAATGTCACAAATAAAGTCGCGAACGATCTCTGAGAATAAATGGGAATGTTCCATTGCTCGCAACACTAATTCTGCTAAGCTGTTTTTGTAAAAAATATATTGTTAATCTAACCAATGTCAAAGGTAAGCTGTCATTGATTTCGATAGTTACTAGTAGCTGCATTCATAAATTAATGATACTCAATTAAAAAAATAATTGCAGTTCAGCCACATTTTGCGAATAGTACAAAAATAGCTGAACTCATGCACACTTTTTATTTATTTGTGCATATTTGTGCATTTGTACAATCATGTTTTTTCTATTTAGACTTTATTTTAGGTAGGTCAAAATTGATTTAAAAAAAAAATATGAATGAGCCCATGTAATCACTAATCAGTTTGGCAGGTATTCTAATCTAACAAAATAAATAATCCAATACTTTAAAAAATGTCATGAGATGAGATTTCCTGTATGTCCTAGGACGATGCATCAGCCATTAATTTTTATACAGGCATCAAGTAAAAACTACTTCATTTATTGTAGATTGTGTGTGTTAAAAAGTACGACGTAGTTCAACACCTGAAAACGAAAGTACACTCGGAACAAATGAAGAAGTATAAAGTTGATAAGCTTAAACAACTAACAATTGGTTCTTCCATGGCATCTGCTTCGGGCCGTAGTGAACAACAAGAATTTAATCAGGATCTCTGCAATGCCATGTTAAAATCAAATATTCCTTTAAACAAGTTGAAAAACACTCACTTTAAAGAATTTTTGGAAAAACACTGCAAACGAAATATTCCAGATGAAAGTACTTTACGCAAAAACTATATTTATCCTGTATATCGCGATACAATTCAACAAATTAGAACAATAATTGGAAGCAATTATATATGGTTTACTGTTGATGAAACTACAGACAGTTGTGGGCGGTATATTGCAAACTTAATGATAGGCGTTTTGTGCCACGAGGTTCCTACAAAGGGATATTTAATTAGTTCAAAAGAATTGAGCACAACAAACAGTAACACTGTATCAAAATTTGTACATGAAGGGTTAGCAAACTTCTTTTTGCCAGAAGCTGTACCAAGTGAAAAAGTACTACTTATGCTCTCAGATGCAGCTTCTTACATGGTTAAGGCGTCCACAAACTTGAAAGTTTTTTACGGCAACTTAATTCACTGCACCTGTTTAGCTCATGGGATCAATCGTATTGCCGAAACCATACGCTTACAATTTCCGTTAGTAAATAAGTTGATCAGCAATGGCAAAAAAATATTTGTTAAAGCGCCTTTGAGAGTACAAATGTTTAGAGAACATTGTCCAAATATTCCACTGCCTCCAGAACCAGTGTTAACCAGATGGGGAACATGGCTTGACGCCGCTATATATTATGCAGACCATTTCCAAAATTTTAAAAATTTGATTTTTGAATTTTCCGAAAGCACAAGTAAATCAGTACAAGAGTGTCAGATCGTTCTTAACAATAGAGAGCTCCAAAACAATTTGGCTTTTATCAAAACCAACTTCAGTTGCATTAGCAAAACTATTAAATCATTGGAAAAGCAACAAGTTCCTTTGGTTGATTCAGTTGCTTTAATAGAGGATTTCAAAAACACTATTAATACTGTTCCAGGAAAAATTGGCGGCTTAATTAAAAATAGAATGAGAGAGATTTTTGAAAAAAATATTGGATTTCAGAAACTGGTTCAAATATCGTCAGTTTTAGGTGGCGAAAATGTTCCAGAATTAAATATGTATCCAGATATTATTTCAAAGTTTAAATACGCTCCTATTACAAGTGTAGACGTGGAAAGGAGCTTTTCAAAGTATAAATATATCTTAGACGATAAAAGGCATAATTTGACAGTGGAGCATTTGGAACAGTATTTAATAATAATCTGTTTTCAGAACGATTAAATTATATTTATATTTATTTATCTTATATTTATCTTAAGCTGTTAAAAAGTGTTTAAAGTTTTATTTCTACTGTTTTGAAGTGTTTATTTTGTTTTATTTGTGAATTAAATACATACAAAAATATATTTTGCATTATTTTAAGATCCACTTATATTTGCTTTTTTTACAAAATGTGATGCTTTTTTTTTAAAATATGAAGCTTTTTTAAGCATTTTTTTTTTGATAATTTTGTGCTTATAAATCCGGTCTTTACTGATAACGGATGGTTTCGTTTGTTGTCCCACCAAAAGACCTAGATCATGCTGATGAGTACTAATAAACATAACAGCACTGTTTGGTCGAAAGAAGTATGTATTGAACGTCTTTTGAATGAACCATTCACAATAATAAAATACTCAGGATTTTCTATGATACCATTAATGTTTAATTAACAAGTTCTAATAATTTACCTAAATCATCCAAAGGATCTTCCAAGCCATCCCTTACAACAACAGCAACAGATTCTAACCTAGATGTGATATAAGCGTTTGTAACTTCTGGAGTGTAAGTCTCTAGTAAATGAGGTTCGGTAGCCTTAACATAAGGAACAGACGCCACCATCCTCTGCCATAAGCTTAAGAGATAGTGAACACTATTTGGTGCAAACTGCCACATCTAAAAATGCAAAGAGGGTAAATAACAAGCTGTCAAAATCCGTAAATTATTTTTTATTTAAGCATTTCATGTGAAATGTCAAAAGCACAATCAATCTATATTTTGAATCGATATTTTTTGACAACAGCTATACCTACGATATTGTGTTAAATATGCTTGCGTCATTATTATCTTTGTTGTTGTTTCCCAACCTATCTACATTAATCATGACATCTTTCTGACGTCTAATTACCTCAAATGACATTCTGGCATTTTGAGCATCGCACAAACTGAGACAGTAATCATGTTTACACTGTAGGTATGCATGCGCTTATATGGCGCATAGCTATGTATAGCCCAAGGTGTAAACAGGCACAAAATAGCATTTATGCACAGAAATATGGTGCTCAGTGCTTGGCTACCTACAATATAAACATGGCCAGTAGTGGTGACAGTAGGAAGAGTCGTCACACAAGAGCGAACCACTGGAACAAATATGTCAAGCCCAGTCCCATACTTTATTTTTTCGATATATTTCCTCAGAAATTCATCAAATCGCGTATGTGACAGCCTCCGCTATCTCACCAGTACGTGCGGTTCCAAGATTGTGGACACACACATATCCAGTGGTTATCTCGCAGATGGGAACGTTATTCACCGTAAACGTTAACAGCACACACAAACTAGGCCTCTGTGTAACGTGGTGCATCACCTCACATAATAATGATGCGACGAAAATGGAACTGGTACGACATTTGAAAACGGAAGTAAATCTTATTTCGAGACTTTTGTGATCACGCTAAGACTCATAATAGAATATCTAGGTGTGAAATATGATAATTCTTACTTTAACTTACTGTATTTGATAATCTCCTAAGTTTGTCTGGTCAATGAAACCACATATATTTGAAATTCTTCTTCAATGTTGTATTAAACGATTCGGTCACAAGAACATCACCATTAAATAATAATTTCAAATATGTGTATGTGGTTACATTGGCCCGGCAAACATGGGAGATTATCGACATGAAAACCCCAGTACAAGTTTCAGATGTTACATTACAGTGTCTGTTTAGTATTGAGAGCAAATATGATGTTTATATTATTGTATAATGAAGACTTACCTGCAAGCTTTGTACAGTGAACTTTGCTATCAGTTGTATTGCTTCAGGATAATTATCCACCATCACAAGCTCACCAAGCTGATAGTTTGATTTTAATCTCGCCAACAATCTACAGAACTCGTGATAATTTGCAGAGTCGCTTAATCCTTGAGGATTTTGGAGGATATGCTTGACTCCATTTACCAGATGCGTGAGAAACTTGGCTCTTTCCGTGTTACTGAATAACGATCTCCTAACAGAAGCTATCTGAACTAAGCAGGAAAGAGCCAGAGCCGATAATGTATTCGGCAAGGAGTGATAGAGGTCGAAAAATAACTTCAGCGTTGTGAAGTCCAAGAAGGCGGGTCTCCAACTCGTCGGAATTTGAACAGTACAAAGGTCATCAGATGACTCATCTGTTGAGGTACCAATGAAATCGAATGTCAAGCAATTCTGGGCCAACCTCAGTAGTTGTGTCATGAGTCCGTGCTGACTTTCGTCATTGAAATTAAGGTTTTTGCAGTTTTCTCTCGCGTTTCCTAGTAGGGTGCAGCTCAGTCGGAAAATTTCGAATAGTTGCGTATCTCTGAATGATGACGCGATTTTGCGATGTTTGGTAAGAGACCTGTTGGCCTCTACTTCTGAAATTTGATTCATCTCGCATGTCAGTTGAGATAACAATTGCACACCTATCATGCAATGTTCCACTGATGACCCCTGTTGAAAAAACCCATTGTACATGAAATTTGAAATATATCAATTCTGTCGAATAAGCTATTGTAAAATTGTGGTTTATCAAAATTAAAAAATCTATTTTAATAGTATAGCCAGCACCAGTTAAATTAATATTTGAGTATCACTCGTAAAAACGTGCGTTTGACTGGCTTTCTGACACTGCTTGTAAAGGGTGATTCAGAGGACAGTGGCAATATTTCTAGGGCATAAAGTAAATCAAAAAATAACATCGAAAGTTCATAAAGGCATGGCTTCTAAAATGCCTCCACCTAGATACATTGAATTTAAAAAAAATATGTTCAGAATGAATTTAGATATCGACTTTGTACATGTATTACTAATTAGTGGTGGCAGATATTTCACGAACTGTGATTTAGTAACTGATATTTCTGTTACCAAATACCGTTGAAAAGCGTGACGTGAACACAACTTCGGGAAGTAGCTGCTTCACGGAAATGGCAAAATCGTACACCACAGGAAGACTACTATGGCCTGCTAGCAATATCGTCCCCTATGGGCTTTGGTAGTTAGCTCCATGCGATTTTATCTCTGTATTTTGCTTAGGATATCAGTACACCTATAATCTCATCGTTATTTGATATCACAGATATTCAAAAATAACGATATCGGCCATCTCTATATTAATATTACAATAGCATACAGAAATGTTCATGCCTGGGACTATACCAGTAATGTAGAGATTGGGAAATTTAACCTTACAGAAGAGAAAATAAAGATTATTTTCCGAGCCACTTACTTTTTTGAAACGTTATTGCTTTCTTGAATAAATTTAACCATGAATCGCCCTTATTGATAAAGAATCCATGCCTATACGTGGGGTATTTGACCCTGAAATTAGCTCAGCTTTCAAGTTGATCGCATCTATGAAATTTTTGCATCGAAATATTTTAGGCTATCATTTTTCTTTTTATTTTGGTACTTTATTGTTTTTTAAAAGCCGATAGTTCGCAGTTTCTTTATACGAGCATATGGTCACAACACTTTCTACATCAAATCTATAGTAATGCACACTAAAATACAAATCATATATAAAAATACAAGTGTGTTTCCACTGTACTCACATTAAAAATAAATGATGAAGCAAATCTATACATAATTACAATTAGATTTCAACTTTTGCTTTAAATATGAGCACCGTGGAGAAACGCTTTTATTTTTATAGGTTTTGTATCTTAGTGAGTTTTATTGTGGATTTTAAGGTCGTCCCTTTTTTCGCTTTTTTACTAACTGTTTACAGCAGTATTCTAAATAATAATAATAATGATAATAATAATAATAATAGGTCATTATAATATGTAATGCTCCTCAAAAGGCGGTCTGGAAAAAACTATCATACTCAACTTTCGCGACAAGCAAATAAATTCACTTGAACAGTAAATAGAAGATAGAATAATAGATTATTCTCGTGCGTATCGATATGAACAATGTTTTCAATTTTTTTTATCAAAGAATGTATTTTGTGCACATTTTAATGTGTATTTTTTCTTCAATCGAAACCTGTTAACAAATATTAGGACAGCTCTAAAATTGTAGGTGTCAATATAAAACTTTTATGGTCTGGTAATTACTTTTATTCTTATCACTTTTTCTCTTTGAAAAGTTTTGATTTTCTTGAAACCTCATTTTGCAGCAATCTCAATTTTTAAGAAAATCAAAGATTTTTTGAAGAGTGGAAGTGATAAGAAAACAAATAATCACCCACTTCATTCTCCCATAAAAGTGGAATATTCATATACAATTTTATAGCTGCACTATTATTTTGTTAACAAGTTACAATTGTAGAAAAAATGCTCAAAAAAGCATTTTTTGACAAAAAAGAAACAGATAACATTGTTTTTCAGTCATCTTTATACTCACCACGAAACAGTGCGACATGCGACGTGAAGAAGAATGGGTTGTGACCATGCATCCACATAAAAATATTTAAAATTCAAACACAGGTGAAGCTTGAACAGAAATGCCAAAATTGAGAAATTTGGGCTTTTAAAGAACAATCAAGCACTAAAACGAATGTAATGCCGATGAAAGATTATAATGCATATGTAATATTTAAAAGAAAAACAAATATATGGATGCGGTCAACTTAGGATTTGAGTTCTTTTCAGGCCTAAAAACTCTGCTTATAGCCCCTGAAACTTTTCGTTAGACAACTCCTTTTTGAGTACAATTGGTTTGAATATTCGAGGTGAAATCCATATCAAAAACTTCAACCCGTCATATTTTAAAAATACGTTAAAGTTACTGATTTGACATTGAAAACTCTATGTGCAGTATCAGAAAAGTAATCATATCTTGATATAGCAGCATCTGAGCAATATTCATGTCTTGTCCTCATTCAGTCTTATCAGTGGCATAAAAAATTACAACAATCTTGGTGATGGAACATTTTAGAACATATGTTTATTGGAACTTTTTTGCCAGTTGTGGATGTGCTCTCCGCTGTAGAAATATTGTCATTGTTTCCTGGATCATCCCATATATAGCAAAACGAGCTTTTTTTGATGGGAGAAAGTAATTCTTAAATGTGCTAAAAACCTGTTTTACCAATTACTATGGTTTTTACTTACTTGCAAAAACTTCCCAATGTCTGCAACAACGTTCCTAAATACAAACTCATCCTTATGTGTATCAAACCATCCCAGCTTAGTGATCCTTGCAAATAATGTAACTAGAGCTTGCACTACAAAATTAGGCAGCTTAGGTCTAGTAGCCAAATAATTCAGAACATAGTTTCGTATGTCAACCCTTTGCTGAAGGCTCAATCCTTGGGCACTTCTGGATACCAGTTTGGTAAGAGTTGTTGCTGCTAGTAACTGAGCATAACAGGAATCTCCTCTATCTAGGAGGACCTGGCATTTGGTGAGAGCATCTGGTCCATCTTGAAAACCGACTAACGTCTTTTCAGCCTCAGTTCTCACAGCTGTATCTTGAGACTCATACAGCTGTTTACAAAGCAGCTCTAGTTGTCTTATCTCCTAAAAATAACAGATTATTTGACTACATCACATGTCAAAAACACATTTGTAGCAAGTCGAAATGGAAATGTACATCCATACAGAATAAATTAATGTTTCCAAATTAGATTCACAATAGGTAATTGATTTAAAATATCAAATATAAACAGATTAAAGATAAAAAAGACATACAGAAATATAAAGTACAAACATGTAATATAAAGTACAAACATGTATGTAAATAGTGAAAACAGTTCATATTATTTATAGGAATTAAAAGAAATAGGAAAAACACACCAATAAAATCCAACCCTCTAAAGGATACATTCAACAGATTTAAATCTAGATATCATGAGAATTAGTGATTTAAATAAAGCGGTTTTTTTAACGGAGTCTTGGTAAATTTTCGGGGGTACGTTTGTATCTGCTAAAATTTTAATAAATTTTAAGGATTTATTTGAGAAATATAAACATATTCAAGGAAAGTATGTCACCCCTAAGTACGAATCATTACAGGACGTATGGTTTATATGAACTTTTCTTCTTAGAATAACCCTAGGAATCACCTCCTGACGTTTGTTACCAGTTGTAGAGTACCATTACACTTCAAAAGACAGAATGGATTTTTTAGGTTTTTTTAAATACTTATTATTCAGAAGTTTACCTATCAATTTCAAGCGCTTTTTGATTTTCATTTGTTTTTATTCATCTTAATTTACTTTTCTATGTATATAATTAAGGTTTATAATATAACTCACTGATCTAAACAAAAAACTTAATGTAAACTGATCTATTTTACAGTGTCATCACTGATATACTATTTAAGTTGATTTCTATCAATTCATATATTTTTAAATTCTCTTAAATTACTTGAGCAATTAAGATGAACCAACGCATTATTAAATTTGGGTAATCATAGAACTCCCAGAATTAAGCAAAACTGGATTGCTCTAAATTTATTCATTAGGAGAAGAGAGAAAGAGTAAAACCCATGGTTATTTGCGTCAAAATCTGCAGATCCATTCTTTTTTATGAGTCCCAATGGATAAAACTGCAACAATATACTAATATTTACATGTTCCAATTAATTTCTGAGAATTTTACATTTGGCTGACAGACTGAAATTACTTACCAAGAAGCAAGCAGATACATTTTTTTGTTTTGTTTATAAGTCCCTTGATTATGCCCACAAACAAACCTGTGGTAGGTATGCCTAGTTAAAATTCGAAATACCAGGTTAATATTTGATTGTGCTGTCTCTGGGACAATTCAGTTGGATACAACTAGTACAAATTAGAAAAATTCATTCTTCTCAAACGTTTTAACACAAACATTTCCATTTAGTGATAATGTCTCTGATAACATCCATCAATGTAGAAGTACCATCAGTGCATCTCAAGAGGGGTGGTCAGAATATGTGCATGTCACATGTGTTCCTCACTCTAGCCCCAAGGTACTGGACTGGTACTTAGGCCACTGATCAGTTCCTAATCGTGTCCTTATATGTGATCAGCATAACAATTAGTACAACAGTATTGTAACAAACATTTATGCACAAATAGCTCAGTCCACCAGGAATTTTTTTTGGGTATGAATGATCAGTCCTTTTGAAAATATTACTTTTGCGCCATTATATAAAGCAAAACATAAATGTGTGAAATATGAATAGTGAAGTCGATTGCTTTTCAGAAAGGAGAAAAAATCTTGTATATTATACATATACAATTGCTGTAGCATGTTTCACAGTAAATAATATAGAATAAGTGAAATGTGTATCCTCTCCCTGTGTTTTACTGTGAAACTTTGTATAGCAAACCTTATTTTTTGTATCCTGTTGATGTACAATAGATAAGAGGGGTATTGCTTCTATCTGGAAATTATAATGTTAACCCTGAATTATTATACAAAAATATATTTGTGGTAAATCCCCAAAACATTATTCAAATATAAGGGTGGCAAGCACCAACCAAGAGTAGTCATATCTAAATTAGTATGTTGGTAACCAAGAGAATTCAAAACTATGTCTACTAGAACAAGTTAATATGTTGCTTAAAAAATATGAAATTGCCCCTTAGATCATGTGATTTAACAGCAATGGATTTATTTTGAAGGGGTTATTTGATGTCACATGTCTATGCCAATAAGCCCACACACACTTGTGCATTGAAAGAGGAAATTCAACACAGCCCCATTGAAATTTATCCAGATTTCTGCAAAATAATCAAAACAAATTTTGGCAAAACAGTCTATGACCTATAGTCTAAGAAGGAAATTTGCCTGATGTGCTAATCAATACATAACCCTATTGTATGTCTTTTATTATTCAGTAAAAAAGTAGTGACCAGAAAAAAGAAAACAATGTTTATTATTTAATTCAAATTGTGTGTTCATTTTAAAAAATCCTTTAGAACAATGCAACTCCTGATGCGGCTTCAGTAATCAAAATACCATCTTATCATTCACATAATTATAGAACTCTAACATTTTTAGCATCTCACTGATTTATTTTTTTGTTTTTTTGGTTGGTGCTCCCCATCTTTTCACTATTTACTTCATGGAATACTGATAATGATAGTTATTGAAGAATTATAGTACAAATTGCAAAACATGCTATTTTTTTTTTCAAGGACCAGGCAAGGCCATTACAAGTACCAGCTATTAGCAGATACTCTGTTAAGATGGAAAAGTCCTTAAGTAAGCTTATTATCAAGTCATTAGGTATTGATAATGTGTTTGCCTTGTAACAAAACTTAAAAAGAGTTATTAGAATTCTTTCAGTAATTTTTGCATTCTATCCTGTATGAATTTGACTGATCATCAAACTAACTGGGTGTTGATTACTTTTGTAGGTACTATTATAAAGTTGTGATTTTTATTCCATGATACATCTCCAAAAGCAAAGAGACAATAGAAGAGGGACAAAATAACCTAGATGTTGTGTAGGAGCTAAAGGAAGTGATTCTGCTTAGGGGAGCCTGCCCCAGCCTAGGTATGCCCTTGATATGGTTTGATCATTCTATGTAGATATAAATATTGAAAAAAATGGCATTTTATAATAGTATGAATATATATGTTTAAGGTATAACAGAAGTGCAGAGTTTTACATCCCTAAGACAATTTTATTTTAAACTCCAATATTGTGTAACACACATCATCGACTTAGACCTTCTCCTATCTTTATAGACTGGGACCTACTTCTCCTTAAATAATAAATAAAAATTAAAGAGTGGAAAATCTACCAACAATCAAATTAAAAATTGGTATGATGCTAGTGTTTAATATTCACATATATCCACATGAGTGAAATACTTATATATTAATTCTAAAATACCTCTTGCATTCTAGTATAAGGCTATAAACGAACAATTAAAAATGCTCAGAAGGTAGTTTTACATATCCAGCTTAAGTAATTTCCTTATAATGAAAACAATGAGAGATAGGTTAATTTATTGGTGACTTTTCTTCAAAAATAACCCTGGCTGTTTACTTGCTGTGTTTACTATTTGATGTGGAAGTCAATGCCGCAAATATAATACTGTGTCCAGAGGATGTGTGCAATTCTAAAGCTAGATAAGGGTAAACAATATTCGGGCTCTGATAGCCCCATACAAGGCAGAAAATCGTTCGTTATCCTTGTATGTGCCTTATTTTCTGGGGCGATAAAGTTACTAAATAGATGCAAAAAATGAACCGTTTTGTTTATGCAATAACCCACCTGTTCGTCAGCCATAGTTAGCTGGGTTCATTTGTTAATTTTGTATAATTATTCGTAAAGTTATAACGACTGTAAAAAGCCGGATTTTTCACAATCACCTCACTCACTCAACTTCCACTCAAAAACATAACGCAAAATTCGCTAGTAGCGCCCTCTTTGTCATTGTCAAATAAGTCAATTTTTGGCGCCAGATTTAAAGTGGTGTGAGTGCTGCGTTATATACGAAACAGAATCGATATAGGGGCCAATTAATAATCCGCTGTTTCTTCTTAAAATTAAGAAACTGAGCATAATCATAGCATTATCATCTGTAGATTATCTCACTCCTTTTTCCATTATCCCGACTTCATCGTACTTTTATAGTAATTGATATATAGAATTAGACTGCTGGTCAGTCATGCACGTACTGAAGATAGGCTGAATGAAACTGCGAAACTTTGTTAGGAAAACTAAATTAACAGTAGCGAATCGAATTTTCAATATACCTAAAATATGCAGTACTAGGAAAAAATACAGGGTGATTCCTAAATCGGTGACAATACTATTCCTATTAGAGCATAAATTAGATAAAAAATACGATATAAACTCCATACCTATATACATGGGTCCAAAAATGCTCCCTTACCAAAATATATATTTTCTGAATGTAGTACCACAGAATAGGTAACTTAGTAGTTACATTCAGGTCAAATCCCCAGTATAATTTTCAGCCTCCCACACATAAGCAATCGGCTACGACACGTCGCGCGCACCGCCGTTTACAGCGTGAAGCAGCGGTAGATCGACGCGTATTCAATACAGGTTCGGAATTATCGGTTCTTTAAAATAATGAATTTCCGATCGGTTCGCATGGATGACTGTATTAGTGTTTTCTGTTTCATTTCGTTAAACTAGTTCAGTAGGACGCGTTCACTAAAACGAACTAGTTCGAGCAACTAATTCACGAATGAACTACCTATTTTACGTAAATTTCTCAGAACAATTTTCAGACTCCGACATCAGATAAGCGATTGGCTATGACAGATCGCGCGCACCGCCGTTTATAGCGTCAACCAGCAGTAAGTCGTCGCATAAGTAATCCGTACAGATTCGAACTTATCGGTTCTTTCGAACAATGAATTTCCGAACGGTCATCTTTAGCAGGCGAGATCAGGGTAGCTCGGAGCAAGGCGAGATCATAATATCATTAATTTGTATGGACTGTATTAGTGTTTTCGGTGAACTAGTTCAATAGGTCGCGTTCACTAATACGAACTAGTTCTAGGAACTAGACCGCGATCGCGAACAAACAATTTCTTGCAAAAATACTACATATACATATAATGTGGCCAGTGAAAAGTTTTTTTCTAATCGCCGGAGCTAAACAACGTGGAGGCGCGGTTAGGGTTTGGATGAATTACCGTTTATATATATTTTTTGTTAAGATGGATGTTTAAAATTTAAATACTCCACGCCAACTGTCGGTAACATACTGTATGTAGCTATGAGATGTACACGTTTTCTAACAATCTCAAATAGCGATAATCCTCCATGTTTGTCTGAACGCTAATTCAAACAACACATGCTTGAAATACTATTTACTGACGGTGACGTTTCGGTCACCAGCTCAAATAATGTGGGATACACTTTTTTGTTTTCACCAGTTCAGAAGATTCTTAATAAATAATACACTGACCCCAGTTTCCAGATGTCCTTTTTCCGGTTGTGTCCTATAGCGACATTTTACGCCATGCTAGTGGCTCTTTCCGAAAGCTGGATAAGTCTTGTCAAAAAGAAAAATCAGACCAGAACCCGATAAAGTAAAAACAAGGTTTTACATGGAAATTTGTAGTTAATTTAGTATTGTCTTAATTTCTTCATTAGCCTCGATGGGTAATATGTGTAAAATAATTTTTATTTCTCTCAGCTATTGTAACTAATAGCATTATTGGTTATATTTTTCAATTTACTTCATTTTGTCCTGCTCGATATCCTTGAATTAAACCACGATCGTTTTCAGACAACCTGTCGTCCAACCTTCTGCTTACTTGGTTGCCAGCCGCGGTGAGTCACGTCTCCTGCCTCGTACTTGTTAATTCGCTTATGAATGACTAGTTCTCTTGGACTGGGATCCTGTAATACCAGTCGTTCGTGGTTTTTCTCTTATTATTTCCCTCGTCTTAAGTTCTACCAATCACAAACGTGCAATTTTGAATTACAAATGGTTTCTAGTTGCAAAATTTGTATGACAGCACCTGTCAGCAGTTATTTTGAGTTTACCCGCGGCAAAACTTGTAAGCAGAATAATCTGTTACTCATGAAATAGTCTTGTCAAATACCATTCGGGCAATTAATTTTTTCATGTGAAAAAAAATCGAAAAGACACATTGCAAAGTAATATTTCTCAGCAAAAAACATTCGGATTTTTGTTACCACCAGCACTCATGCTTCTTGTTAAAATATTACTGAGCAACGGGTTTTTTCGATTTTTTTCGGAAAAATTAGGTGCCCTTCTACTGGCCGATAGTTTGGTCGGTTTCTTAATCAGTATGGAAAGGTAAACAAGTCCTTCCTTGAAGGTTAGGGATTTTTGAATCAAAATTAAAAATGTTCTGTCGACAACACGGCCCTTCAGAGCCGATGTCGCTCAGGGTTCGGTTCTTATTCATGACGTCCCTTTCCTCAGCAACTGTGAAGTCTATCTCTAAGCTGATGATACTGCCCCGGTGCACAGTCGTGATCCGGGAATCGGGTTTACGGTGGGCTGCAAAGTGTAGTGGATGAGGTATTGATTGGAATGGGTGGATCGGTGGCTGATCAAAACCAATCATTCGAAAACGCAGGCCATCTATTGTACTAACAAGGTAGCGGCGCCCCGTTTGAGGTATCAGTGAACGGAGATCGCGAACCCTATGTTATGTACCATAGAACCTCAAAATTGAGTTTGATCAACAAGGTTTGCTTACAAGACCTCTATTAGACCAGTTATCACTTACGCGTATTGCGGCCAAAACGTATTTGCGTAGTCAGCACGTTTTGCAGGGCAGAACCTTGCGCACAACTACTAACGCCCCATGGTATTTTTTCAGTGACACCGTTCACATAACTTATCTAAGAGACTATATCAAACAATAAGCGCAGCTATGTTACAGTCAAGCGAAATCACATAGCAACCCTTTGATGCGTAAGTCAGTAGACTACACTGTTGAGCAAGCTCAAAATTACAATTTTTCTACTACAACTAACCTCTAAATTAATTTAAGGATCAATTTAAAATTCCCGAATACTGGTTACTATATGTAACAATGCCAAAGCACCCCTCAAACTGATGCACTTCCTCCTCTTTGCTCCCATTACTTCCTGCCTTTCTTCTTCCCTTACGATACTTAAACAGAGATCATACAGACAGGTCTGAACTACAACGACGAATAGAAGTATTGCTTTTTTATGTGACTCTTTCGGAGTGTTTTCAAGCCACTTTCTCGCATTTGACTTTGCCCATACTACTAGGGGGGTTCTTATGATAATAATGTCCTAAAATGTCTAATTACTAAGATACAGGGTGTTGTAAATTTCCGTGCCACTGATGAGATTGGATTATAACTAGCCAGTTTTCAAAGTCAAACTTCTTTCATTTCAGCATATTTTAGAAGTAGATCAGGTTCAGTTTTTTATACAGATTTTACCTCAAATTTTTAAATCAATTTTTCTCCAAAAGGAGTAGTCTCACATCAATTTCTAAATAGAGTCGAATAATACAAAATTGAATACATTATTCAAAAATGCGAAGGAGATTTGAAAAAAGTCAAAGGCGTAGAAAATAATTTTTTTCCGTAGGTGACAAAATTTTGTCTCAGGCACGATCATTCATTGGCTGTGCTGTTAGTACTACCAAAGTATAGGCCAGTATAATCACTGGGGCTAATATTGGTCAGATGAGTCGATCTTACGCGCACGCACCGCAACACATATGTTCTCAGCACATAGAGCACCAATATAACCCGAGCTGTCGACGCGCTCGCGTCAGTCAGCAGCAGCTACAGACACAGCGGCACAGGGTCGGACAGGTCGGACTGAATAGGGACTCAATATGAATCTTCACCTTGGGTGATATATAGGATTACTCTTCTAATACACTATATATACAACTTCCAATGTAAAGATTCACTAAATTCAGCATATTTTAAAAATAGACCTCGGTGAAGTTTTTATACAGATTTTAATTTAAGAATTCAAACCAATTTTTCTCCAAAAGAAATAATCTATTATAATTATATAGAGAGACGCTATTCATGTAGACGTTTCAAAATAGTTGTGTAGGGAATGTTTTCTTTTTCTTCCATAGGGTGAACATTTTCCCGATTCTACGTCCTTGATGCAGGCGCAAACATGTCTGAATGTAGTGGTTATACTGGCAGTATTAATACATATACACTTCAAATTAACACCTCAATCCATTCCGAAAATATATCTCTTTTCGATTTGGAAATTATAACTTCTTGTATCTCGAAGACGTAACCCTTGCGGACCCATTTTTGTGAGGAGGTTTTGTATTAAAACATAATAAAGAATAGTCCTGTGATATATTGGATATTTAAGGCGTATTCTTTAATTCACCGGTTGAGCCACCAGTGCAAGCAATTAACCAATTTTTCTTCTTTTAATTTCCGTCTGAGCGACCGGTTGTACTCGTACACCAAACTTGTCTATATAGTTTAAAGACAAAGTTGGTGTACAACCGGTCGCTCAAACGGAAATTTTGGTTGCACCGATGGCTCAACCGCTGAATTAAGAAATACGTCTTTATTTTTAAGAAATACCCTGTACACAACATGCCACACCGAGGCTCCAATATCCACGACCCTCCCAATCAATATCTTTGTGAGGGGTTCATTATAGGCAACCCGCGATGCGTTAAAATGTGATACCTTGTATTTAAATTTTCAAAAATCATGTAGAATGTAACTGTATTCTCCTTTATGACATTTTAACATACATTTTTTACTAAAGTGGTGTTTAAATCCAAACATACATAACGACGAATAATTTTATTGTTCTTGGAAAATACTTTCAGTTCATTATACATGCTGTTACTGTCTATGATAACGAATATACAAAACACATTTATGAAATAATAAAGGTCAATTTATATTTAATTGAAAATATATGTCACTTAGGGCTTAACGATCGTATTTACACTTCCCCAGCATCCATTTTGATGACGCAAGTCGCGGGATGAGATGAAAATCAATAAGTTGCGAGGATGTAGGCAAAGAAAATAGAGTTTTTGGTGAGGCAATTTCTAGTAAAATGCTTACTATCATAGTTAGATTAATGCCTGTAGATTGCTATAAGTAACCAAAGTATGTTTAATACGAACCACAACTTATTGTTTAAAGCTATAATATTGGCAATGTGCATAATATCCTTCCTGCATGTCTTCTTCTTTCCATTGTATGACATGAGCACTACTCGAGGCAATTTGAGAACGTACATGGATTTCGAGCAATCCCTTTGTATGAATAACATAAGAAAAAGGAAAACCTGGAAACATGGAAGGTGCCCTCGATATGGAATAGTAACTATAATGCAAGGCGGAAGACTCGGCAATCAAATGTGGGAGTATGCATCAGTATGGGCTTTAGCTAGAAGAACAGGCTTGGAACCCTATGTTCCACAATGTATCAGAGTGAAACTAGACCAACTTTTCGAGCAACTAACTGTTCCAACTTTTGAAGAAATCGGCCATTGTCCAGTAGAAATAAATTACTTTGTTAAGTCTCTCGAAGCATGGAATTACACTAACCAAAGCATAATTTTACCGAAGTACTCTATACAAATTGATTTGGTGTTAACATGGGTCCAAGATATTGTTCAAGAGTTCACTATAAATAAGAAACTGTTAAAAAAAAGCCAACAAGTTTTGCATCTAGCCATCAAAGACTTCCAAATGAAGAACTATACGTTCGTAGGTGTTCACGTACGAAGAACCGATTATATTGGGTATTTGAAGAGGAAGCACAATACGCAACCAGCTGAACCGATTTTTTATAAAACTGCAATGAAAATATTTGAGAAAAAGTACCAAAATGTCGTTTTCATTGTGGTGAGTGACGATCCGCTGTGGTGTTGGAAAAAATTCGGATACAAGTCCAACGTGTACGTGGCAAGTAAGCAACAAAAAAATTCTCCAGCTCTTGACTTGGCAATATTAGCATCCTGCAACCATTCTGTTTATGATTATGGAACTTTTGGTGAGTGGGGAGCAATTCTGGCTGGGGGAGAAACCATTTATTACAACCTCAGTCATCATTCATCAGCTAGGATAGGGCAACTCATGAAAAACTGGCAGACTATTGAAGAGTACCAACGAAACCACATTTAAAAGGCTGATTTTTTCTAAAAGAGAATACCAAGTTGCTTATTTTTTTACAGAAACGATATCATTAATTTATTTTTTCACAAAAAAGTCTAAATATCAATGAAAAACAAAAAATTAAAGTAAAATATACCATGGTCTCTATCATATATTTACATTCTATATTTTGCATCTCACACAGGAAATTTAGTTACTATACAAAAATCAACGCTATTTCTTTCCCTTATAATTTAGTGTACATCGACGAAACAGTCTTGAATAGACGTCGTTTTCGTTTAATTCGTAACGAGACGGGAGATAAATGGTTTGCCAAGCTAGACAGGGGATAGGGGTTTTAAAAATGTAGTCATGTGACAAATTCTCACAATTTGAATTTTATACTATCATATTTATTTTATCTTAGACTTTTTTATAGTGTTCTTCAAGGGCGTATCCAGAGGGCCAAGAGGGCACAACTGCCCACCTTTTTCCCTAGCTGGGCAAAAATTAAGTGAAGAAAACATTTTTTACAAAAAATAAATTATCCATTCAGGGTTTTCCACCAGCTGAATCAATATCTATTAGATGAGAAGTTACTAGGATTTGTTGAAATCTATGTTAGATATGAACCTTATTTTGGTAAAAGCACTATATATGTTACGTGTTTTTAAAATTTGAACCTTCCCTTTGAGATCTCGAAAACGGTGAAATGAGTGTCACACGAGCAATATTTACTGTGCTCCGTACCATAGTGGATTTCTGTGTAACATTATGCATCAATAATAAGATTGGTCAATAAATATCACATCTCATGATAAATTTATTGACATATCACAGTAAATACTGAGCATGTAAATGACGCGGAGTACTTTATGGGTTGTTGCTTAGGTAAATAAACTTGGACAGTTTGGAAATTCAAAGTATTTCTGAATTTATTCTATGTCCTTTCTATTTTGTCCTGACCTTATTCCGAAACAAAAGGTTTCAAACATTCACATTGTCTACAAATTGCACAATCCCATTATCACCTCTTCTCTTCTACACGGTGGCATAATTAGAATTTTCATTTGACATTTCTGCTCTCAGTTTTTTAAAATTATGAAGTTTTCAATGTCGATTACCTTTAAATAATATATATGAGTTACATTAAGTTGTTCTTCATTCGATAAGTTTAAATCAACTATATGAAGTTAGGCACTTGAAGTTTTATATCAATGCGTAACATGTTATCATCTTTCATATTCTACGAAATAAATGACTATAATATAATAATTTCAAGGTTTACTCAGAATTTTTTTTATAATAACGTATGACATGGTATAATATTCGAAGTCAGAATTAAAAGAATTAAAAGCTATTCGCCTATACAAAAATTGCATACATTAGAAAAATGTTGGAAAGAAGTTGGTACGGGGGATAAGGGACGAAAAATCATATTGATCTATTTATGCCACCTTGCAGAGATCAAAAAGGGGCAATGTCAATGATTTTGAAATCCTATCTCAAATAAATAAAAAAAAATTATAAACGATTTTTGGAAAATTCGTTCACTTTTCCGTATATCTCTGGACATACTGGAAACGTTAGAACTTTTCGAATGCTTTTCAAAGATCACAAATTTCTTTTTCAAATCATTCTAGAACAAATTAGGTACATATTCTTCTACATATTCTATAAAACTATTTTTGGTTATAGGTATGTCATATATTATCTCAAGTGTTGCTTTCAACTATTGCAAACGACTAAATTATCACTTAAAAAAGCGTCTCGCCCAATATTTGCTTGAATGTTTCAAAAAAGTAATAGTAGTTTTCCATATCCATATCAATTGTAAAATCGTCAGGAAAGACTATATAAATGAAATGAAAGATAGGAAGAAAAATATCAAGCAGAATTATCTAGATATGATTTGTGGAACTTCCACCAAAAATTTTTAGGTGTCCCCCTTTCCGTTTTTAGATGGATACGCCCTTGATGACATTTATTTTGTCTTAGACTTATTTATAACGCTCTTATTAGATGAAATGGTATATTTACAATCATTTGCAAAAATACATGGTGACTTTAGAGATACGCATTAAATATGTGTATTATTTTGAACACAATGATAAAAGTGTACATTGTATAAAAGAGGAGAGCTGAACACCTTGGCTGAAACTTCATTTGTAAATTATACAAAAATGGAAATGGCGTTTTTTAAGATTACCCATCAAATTCACATAAAAGTATGTTCAGATGGGTTTAGAGAACTTGAGATCTTGAAGGTCAAAACTTATAGCAACCCTCCGTAAGATTTGTGATAAGAGACAAAACAGTAACTCATTTTTTGATCACACACTGCCTGTGTGTTCCTCTTAAATTTTACCATGTATATTATTGAACAAAGAAAATCCAGCTGATTTAATCATTTATTGGTGCCAAAATACTATGTTATTTATATATTATACTGGATGAAACTTGATCCATACTTCCAAGTCTGTGTTCTTTTATATACTCAACAACATAAGATCTAAATTTAAATTTTGAGAGTGTTCATTCTACAGAATGTAATTACGATTTTTACAAATGCGATTATAAGATATATTTTATTAACAGCACAGTTTAGAGTATGGACTCTTTTCATTCATATTCTGTTATTTATGATGTATGAAATATCTATTTATTATTTATTAACAATTCATAAAAATCATATACACTACCACTAGTAGCGTATATACTCATTTACATTTTTATTGTATATATTATAAAAAAAAGAATAATTCTTATGCCTTATGTGCCAAACTATTCAAGATGCCGGAAAAAGAGAATGTTCAAACTTGTTACAACTATATTATGTATATACACGTGGAATTTTATTTTTCTGCATGAAACTCAAAAAATCAAAAACATATCCGTTTTTCATTTCCATTTTCACAATAATAATCGTTCCGATCTTACTATACATACCTAAATGGACATAGTGAAATAGTGAGTAGTATCAACAGATAGTATGGTCCAAGATCTTTTCGTATCTGAATACAAAAAAAGTTCTATATTAAGTTTTACGGAAATACAGGGTGATTTGTCTAAGCACGCCAAATGTTTAATATCAGGTACTGTTTAACCTATTTTGCTAGAGTTTTGCACGATAACAAAGTAACCCTAGGAGTAACGTAAAACTAGACGGACGGTTAAGATAACCAGGGACGGACTCTCATTTTCACATTGTTTAGTATGTACAAAAAGGCCAATGAATGGTACTAATTAATTAGCAATATAGATTTATTGCACCTCTTTTAGTTTTTTTTGCTTAAATTTTATTTAATTTTTAAAAGTTTATATGTGACATAAAACTCAAAATTTCAAGAGTTATCAACTTGGTTTTCTCAACATTTCACAAAATAATGCTTGAGATTGAACTAAAGATGTTTTGCGGGTGCAAAACCTTATAAGTTACAGTCTGAATTTACTATTATTTCGCAGAAAAACAGAGCAGTAAATGAGATAAATAAAAAGGGAAACCAATGTTATGCATTTAGTTTCCTTTTTAAGTAATTTTTAATGATTTAATTCTACCAACTGATGATTGATTATGATGTATGTATGTTTAGTTCAATTTTAAGAATCATTTTATGTTAACGAAACCAAGTTGATAACCCCCAAAATTTTAAGTTTTGTGTCACATAAACTGCTAAAAATAATATATTTGGCACAATCAGTATCTATTATTTGCTATTTAATTAGCTCCATTCGGTGACTTTTTATTTCAAGCATTTGGATCAAGTCAGCCAAACAGGATTATGCAAGTGGTTCATACTTCACATAAAAGCGCTAATGCTTGTTTCTTTCTTGCCCTAAGTATCGACCATCTGGCAATGGTGCTGAAACACAACCGTAAACCATGACATAAGCGCCAGCTACGATCCTATAACTCGAGACGTACACAGTCTGACTCATGAAGGTTGACATGATTACGACCGACCACGTATCCTGTCTGTAAATATGTCATAGTTGTATGTGTACTAATAGGTGCGCCAAATTACCGAAGCTGGAAGCGTATAAATATACTGCCTCCAAAATCGAGAAAAACATCGAGTCCGGCACTGCATTTTTTTGTCATCTGTCGAACTTTACATTATTCCTAGGTAACTTTACTATTGTGCAAAATTTGATTGTAATCGGGTCAAGAGTACCTGAGATATGTGTATTTATGTAAAAACTGAATTTATTATTTGTTCTTCTAATCTGAGAAAGAACGGAGAAGATGTGGCTTTTGTCCGCAGCAGTCTTTCCTGCTCCAGAGATGTTTCTTTGGAATCAGACTGGAAGGACATTCTGTGGCTTCGTGTCAACTCCAAAACATCCACCAAATTTATTTGCTGCCTGCATCGCCTCAAGCCTCGCCGTCAAGATCGACTTCCTGAACATCAATCACCCCGCTTCAGAGGTAGTTCTCCTCGGCGATTTCAATGCGCATAATGAGCTTTGGTTGAGCTCAAACAAGACCGATGCAGCAGGTCGTGCAGTTGAAGAGTTCGCTATTACCCAAGGACTGACCCAGCTGGCGACGAGTCTTACTTTTTTCCCTCGCCTTTCGTCACAGGCCAGTAGCCTGCTGGATCTCTTTCTGACCACTCACCCTGTCCCTTACAGCACTGATGCTGTCCTGTTCCCCCTGGGTAACTCAGACCTTGGTGTTGTGGAGGTTAGGTTTCGGTCAGAACCAGCTGTGGCAGCAGAAACTCGTACAGGCCGCAAAACCTGGCATTATGGACATGCCGGCTGGGAGGGGCTCAGAGACTTCTTCTTAGGATGGAACGATTGTATCCGACTCAAATTCCATGCCAAGATGTTTGCTGCCAACTCCACCATGGACTACCCCCAACGCCCAAGTGCCGTCAATTCAAACGTTCCCTACACTATGCGGGAGGTACGAGTAACATTCAGGCATAAGACCGTAAGACGAGTGCTCTTGTCGCTCGACATGAACAAAGCTTCTTCCGTGTGCACCGGAGCTTGCTCCAGTTCTTTCGCGTCTCTTCCAGATA